CACTAAAGCTGGCTGATCACACCGACACGATACAACAACGTTGTCCATCTATATAGTGCATGTCCAACGCATGTCGTACACATAGCTAGTGTTCTTGAATGAAATATCACTTGTTGACCCTCATGCCCGACCGTGCAAGTCTGTAGAGCTTCCTGCCCGAGACCAACAATATTTTATCGATTGCTATAGCTCATATGAATTTGAACGTACTCCTAACCTCTCTTTATAGTGACACGTTGTTGATTAACTAGAAAATGGATTATTTTTCAGCTAGCGTCAATGCATTACGTATCGCCATGCCCTTACTGTCTGGGGTTCTATCTACGGCTTGGGGTCATCCGTGCACGGAATTATTCGAGTGAGTGAGTGAGTATGGTTTTACGCCGCTTTTAGCAATATTCCAGCAATATCACGGCGGGGGACACCAGAAATGGGCCTCACACATTGTACCCATGTCGGGAATCGAACCTGGGTCTTCGGCGTGACGAGCGAAGGCTTTATCCACTAGGCTACCCGACCGCCCCTGTAATTATTCGGAGTTCAAGAGGTGTGGCTAACTAGGGACAGGTGTAGGCAACACAAACATGTTGATCCTTTCATACCTAATTAGGGGTTAACGTTACAGGGGTAGCTATATCCTAATGTGACTAGGGGTTAACGTAACAGTTGAGGCTACATAATAGTGTGACTAGGGGTTAACGTAACAGTTGAGGCTACATAATAGTGTGACCAGGGGTTAACGTAACAGTTGAAGCTACATAATAATGTGACTAGGGGTTAACGCAACAGATGTAGCTACATAATAGTGTGACCAGGGGTTAATGTAACAGTTGAAGCTACATAATAGTGTGACCAGGGGTTAACATTAAAGTTGAGGGTACATAATAGTGTGACCAGGGGTTAACGTAACAGTTGTAGCTACATAATAGTGTGACTAGGGGTTAACGTAACAGTTGAAGCTACATAATAGTGTGACTAGGGGTTAACGTAACAGTTGAAGCTACATAATAGTGTGACTAGGGGTTAATGTAACAGTTGAGGCTACATAACAGTGTAACTAGGGGTTAACGTAACAGTTGCAGCTACATAATAATGTGACTAGGGGTTAACGTAAGAGTTGCAGCTACATAATAGTGTAACTAGGGGTTAACGTAACAGATGTAGCTACATAATAATGTGACTAGGGGTTAACGTAACAGATGTAGCTACATAATAGTGTAACTAGGGGTTAACGTAAGAGTTACAGCTACATAATAGTGTAACTAGGGGTTAACGTAAGAGTTGCAGCTACATAATAGTGTAACTAGGGGTTAACGTAACAGTTGCAGCTACATAATAGTGTAACTAGGGGTTAACGTAAGAGTTGCAGCTACATAATAGTGTAACTAGGGGTTAACGTAACAGTTGAGGCTACATAATAATGTGACTAGGGGTTAACGTAACAGTTGAAGCTACATAATAATGTGACTAGGGGTTAACGTAACAGTTGCAGCTACATAATAGTGTAACTAGGGGTTAACGTAAGAGTTGCAGCTACATAATAGTGTAACTAGGGGTTAACGTAACAGTTGAAGCTACATAATAATGTGACTAGGGGTTAACGTAACAGTTGAAGCTACATAATAATGTGACTAGGGGTTAACGTAACAGATGTAGCTACATAATATTGTAACTAGGGGTTAACCTAGCAGGTGAGCTACATAACAACGTGTGAGAAGGGGTTAACGTTAAGTGTTCTGTTTCCTACACACGTGTGTCAAGTTGAAAAACCACCAAGATATTTAGTTTTGACCACAGCCCGAAACGTACAACAGATATGACAGAAAGAAAACATTAACATCTGATGTTTCTACAAATCCGATGTTTTTGGTATTGTTTTCGTTAATTGGATAGTCTCGTAATCTATTCATCTTCCTGCAGTAAAGATGATTCACACACGGCACTTCACACGCGTTAATGGTCTGTTATTGTTCCTGCCAAACAACTTTGTAATTTTGCGTCACATTCGAGAGGACGAAAGGAAATAACAGTCGGTGCTTACAAGAGGTTGCGTGTACAATCTCGACATATAAACTTATGCAAAACACAATCATTAAAAACGAATAGCAGTCTGTGGGGATTCCGGGTTAGAATTGGTCTAAGAGGCTACATAAAGGATCGTTTGGCCAGGATCTGTGTATTTGTTTGATTGCGTGCCATGTATCCCGATCAATCACTGGATTACATACATCTGTGATCCGTGAAGATCCAGGTTAGAATTGGTCTTCAGCAGTGGGGCGTGTCGTAAGAGGCGAGAGTGCTTGCCAGAGGCCACTAACGGGATCGGGTGGTCAGGGTCGCTGACTTGGTTAATGCATGTCATCGTTTCCCAATTGCGTAGATCGATGCTCTTGATGTTAATCATTGGAATTTGTCTGGTCACGATTCGAAGATTTAGAGGACCGTTAGATTTACGTCATATAGCTGTAATATTGTCGAGTTAAACAGCAGACAATATAATAAACTGCTGGGCAAACGAAAATATACCACCCATGTTTGGCAAAAAATAAAAGAAACAAAAAATTGTTTTTCGATTGTAATTATTTGATACGGGTGTCATAGTTGTGTTTTACTTAATACGGTTATCATAGTTGTATTTTGGACCATGAGTGTTTCGACGAATGTTTCTGCGAATGTTACAGTCTAGTAGCGTTTTGAAAACGCTAAGTGTAATATTTTTGTCAATCCTATTTTCAAGTGTATACTTTGGTTTGCCCGGCAGTTTATTAGGTATTGTTGATAATTTAGGTAACAGATATGGATTTACATGAATCAGGAATCTGCGCCATCTACCACGATGTCCCAAGAGGTCATGCAAATAGAAGCGACAAAACCCTTTCCATATTCAATAGAAATCTCTGCTAAAAGCAGAGTCGATTGTACGATTCCGAGTATATCACGAGCATGTGTTTATGAATCACTATCAAATAGTGACGATACCAGGTGTTCACGAAAAAGTGAGCGTATCCTGACCCACCGGTGGCATCCGTCACAAACACATGCAGGGGCAAGTCAACTGTTCTAAACAAAACACGGGAACATATGGTACAAGTCAAAATAGGGAATTGCATCGGACATCATTTTCGTCACTGATGCGTCACAATCTGGAATGTCCTCCACATGTCTACCATGAGTGAGTGAGTGAGTTGCGTTTAACGCCGCTTTTAACAGTATTCCACTTATATCACGGCGTGTCAGCTTAATGTGGGAGGAAAGCCCGAAGTGATGCAGGTCTCAGACGTTTACCACTTCGGTGAAACCCACGAGCACGGGTATGGTGCTGACAAACCTAGAAACATAATCAGGGCGAACCGGGATTCGAACCCACAATCATAGGTTTCTGGCGTGCCCAAGGGACGCAACTCTGCACAGTGAATCGCGGCGCCTTAGACGACTGGGCCACCCGTGCCCCCTGTCTACCATGAAACGTATTGAAAGCTTAGTGAGGCCTTGCATGTTGTAACCTTGATCAAACAGCTTCTGAACAAGAGGTGTATGACGCATGATGTACGTATTAAATTGTGTGTGCCTTTAGGTCAACTCGGCTGAGAATTTGAAATTTATTTTGTATCTTGAATTAATTTCTGATGGTGTATATATGCAGCACATAGTTTATACCTAGTAATGTATCTGGATACCTTCTGACATCATGAACAAACAGACCAGCCTCAAGGTTGAACAATAAATCCACCGCGCAGTCTATTACGGTACGATGTGATCTCACTGCACCTGACCGACTTCGGCAGCCGTCGTCAACAACTTCTAGACTTGCCCGGTCTCCTATCGCCGCACAGCTAAGCCTCGGGGGCAAACTAGTGCAGGTCATCTGAATGCAGATTTCGATCTAAGTCTCTGTTCGTGGAGAACAGTCGATATTTAGGAAGTATTTCTAAATAACACAGCCACGTGATAATGAACATGTTACGGTGCCCGTGCAGTATCCAGTCTGTCTGACTCTGTCAGATATGTTTTCTTTCATTGATATTGATTGTGTTAATATATATTAAAAAAATCACCAAGGAACCAAATCAATACCTGCGTACTGAGTTATGCAGAAGAGTGCATGTGTGACATGGCTGATCAGCCTGATCTCGAAACGAAAGACTGAGTGGGTGACTTGGGTCCAATGCCGCTATTAACAGTATTCCAGTATCACGGAGTGTCAGCTTAATGTGTGTGTGTGTATGTGTGTGTGTGTGTGTGCGTGTGTGCGTGCGTGCGTGCGTGCGTGCGTGCGTGCGTGTGTGTGTGTGTGTGTGTGTGTGTGGAGGGGGGGGGGGGGGGGGGGGGAGTCCCGAAGTGATGAAGACCTCAGACGTTTACCACTTCGGTGAAACCCACAAGCATGGTATGGAGCTGACAATCCAAGAAACATAATATCGGGGCGAACCGGGATCCGACCCCACAACCAAAGGTTTCTCGCATGCCCAAGGGTAGCAGCGAATCGCGGCGGCTTAGATGCCCCATGAAAAAAAGAAAGAAACATAATAACTAATTAGTTATACGTTCATACATGTTTATGGGGACAAACAATAATATCCCAGCGCTGACTAACTTTGAAACATAATCGCAGCGAACCAGGATTCGAACCCACAATCCCTGGTTTCTAGTGTGCACAAGGGACGCAACTCTTTACAGCGAATTGTGGCGCCTGGGACAACTGGGCCCGTGTTCCATCGAAATAAAGAACGCTTTTGGGATATACGATAAATGTGGGCTATGTTTTACTTATGTGTGTGGGTTACTTTACGCCAAAAAGTGCCGACTAACGGGATCAGGTGGTCAGGCTCGCTGACTTGGTTCATGCATGTCATCGTTTCCCAAATGCGTAGATCGATGACATGCATCAACCAAGTCAGCGAACCTGACCATCCGATCACGTTGGTCGCCTCTTTCGACAAGCATGGGTTGCTGAAGACCTATTCTATCCCGGATCTTCACAGGTTGTGACACTGTCTATATCTATCCATGTAATTTCTCACAAGAAACATGTTTACTGTAAAGGTGAGTGAGGTTTAACGCCGCCTTGAACAGTATTTGGGTTACATCCTGGCGCGTAGATTGATGCGGCATAGCAAAGCTCCAAAGGGCACAGGTCGATGAAACTGATCAACAGTCTGACAAGACCCCTGTCGGGGCGGATCCTGCATAGCAGGTAAGGGACGGCGTCTTCGATTGCATTTTACCATTGGGTTACCACTACCCCCTTATGAGAGCATTGTGTTAATGACTGGAGAGACGACGACGTTGAAGTGAGTGAATGAGTTTGGTATAAGACTGCTTTGAACAGTATTACAGTTATAGCACGGCGTGTCAATGTGGGAGGAAAACCCGAAGTGATGCAGGTGACATGATGTTATCTGTATATGCGGGGTGATTGCTAGCTGTAAGCGCCTCTTCCTGGTACAGCGGTGATAGGTAGACGTGGAGTACATCCGGGTTCAGTACAACATAAAGTGCCACCTGCAGTCATAATGTTGCAATACTGCTAAAAGGGACATAACAAAATTTACATTCACCCACCCCTCATAAAATGACGACGTTACGAAACGTGCTTCCTGTGCATCGTTCAAGATAACAAGATCCCTTTCAAGATATATTTTAATGTCTTCAGATACAATGCCCCGAAGTACAACGGCAAGATATGATTTAAGCATGATTTTTTTCATTAGTCGTTTCTCAGCTAGATGGGAGTGGCATATACATGCTGTACAGTTGCCCACGCCAAGGTTGCTACCTGCAACATATAACCAGACACATAGGTGAGGTGAGGTGAGGTGAGGTGGGGTGAGGTGAGGTGAGGTGAGGTGAGGTGAGGTAAGGTGAAATAGGGTTTAACGTCGCGTCCAAGATTCTTTCACTTACATAGCGACGTGTATGCACGTGTGTGTGTCTGTTGTACTATTTGGGACTGGTACCGATTTATAGCGCTAGCCCACTGAGATACCATGCCACAGTTTAACATGAATATCCCACTCAGACACAGTATACTGACTTCGAGCCGACCAGTCCCCTTAAGGCCGAGCGCCAGACAGGGTAACAACAAGTATAATCTTTTAACGTCTTTCGGTCGGGGATCGATCCCCGGACGCTCTACCACTAGACCACGGAGGCGATCCCAGACAAATAGCATGAGGCAAGCGCGTAGGTGTTGCAGTAGACGTTGTAGATGAACGCTTAGTCAATGAAAATATATACGTTTGATAGAAACAAATACCTCCATTTAAACTGAAAGGGAGCCCCAGTGAGATGGGAGATTCAGAACCTGAAACTGAGGAAAGTCTAGACTTGCTTCATTTGGAGCCTTTGCCTTACAGTGAAGGCTGGGTGGAAGATAAAATAAATTGGTTCAAGGACTGTAAACAGACTACAGAAGTTGAGATGAGGTCGAAACTTCAATATCGGACAATTCCACGGACGAGATGATTGATCGAGTCGTTGTGGAGGAGAGGTTTGGACGTTAGGCTCTTGTAAGCGGAAGGTGGCGTGATGTTGGGTGTGGGTGTAGAGTAAACATTACATTAATACATTGGGAAATGTTACAGGGGATCGGGTATAGTAGAATTAGACGCATGACTAACTGTGACTAACTCATTTTTAACTCAATATTACTGAACGCAAATTGCATATCACAAGACGCAGCTCCCCTATCACAATACGCAGCTCCCCTATCACAATACGCAGCTCCCCTATCACAAAACGCAGCTCCCCTATCACAATACGCAGCTCCCCTATCACAATACGCAGCTCCCCTATCACAATACGCAGCTCCCCTATTACAAAACGCAGCTCCCCTATCACAAAACGCAGCTCCTCTATCACAATACGCAGCTCCCCTATCACAATACGCAGCTCCCCTATCACAATACGCAGCTCCCCTATCACAAAACGCAGCTCCCCTATCACAATACGCAGCTCCCCTATCACAAAACGCAGCTCCACTATCACAAAACGCAGCTCCCCTATCACAATACGCAGCTCCCCTATCACAAAAAGCAGCTCCGCTTTTCAAAAGATGTGTGTCCACGCTGAGTGGTGACTGAGTACATACACTACCGGGCAAAAAAGTGAACACTTGAACATTGGATTTGATAAAGAAATTAATCATCAAAACGTTACTATAGGCTGAACACAGTCGTCGAAACACTGCAAACATGAGGTCCAAAAAAAACATTTCTTGTTTGTTTCATTTTTACGCACACACACACACACACACTCACACGCACGCCCGCACGCTCGCACACACACACGCACCACCCTGGATACGTGTGGTAGAGATGTGCAACTATATTTTGCCCTAGCTAGCTAGCGAGCTGTGATGTCGCGGCGTCATGTTGCGGCGATGTCATCGAGGGATGCTGGCCTGTTTGAATTTTTGTCGTTTCGTCTTGTTATTGTAAACAGAAAGAATAAGCGTGGGGGTATCTAGGTTATTTTGAACATGAATGAGCCGTAAAGGGTATACTTTTAAATCTGGCATAGTCTTCAGTTCCAATTGCAAGAGGTACTCACGACTCAACCCTACAATTGCATGTGTCATGGTGGTTTGGTCGTCTGGGGCTGCACCCATGCACCCACTCTGGGGGTCAAGGTCACCCCGACCACCTCGCTGCATGAATGCAGCTCACCATGGACTTTGATATCGACGCGACAACGCTTGTTTATCCAAGTTAGAAAAGAACGGAATTGATTGGCTGCTGCCATGTTAAACAGATGGGCTTTATTGCCTTATTTATTACATGACTTGACATAATTCAGGGCTCGTATAGTGAGACGTTAGAAAAAAAAATGGTTAAACTCTTGTCTGACAGCAAGTTTCAGTTTCAAATGAATAAGTGTTTTCTCGGCTGATTTAAAAAAATACTATATCACACATTAATGCTCCCTGAAAATATTAAGAACCAAAAAATGATAAAAGTCTCAAAGGATTTTGAAACGGACCCTATGGATTATCAGCAGCTACCATTGACAACAACAATGTAAGCTACACTTGTTTATCAACACCTGGCATTCCAGTCGAGATTCAAAACAGGATCTGACACAGCTATTGGACGGAATGCATGTTACGCATGGGTGGCGCTCAGAGTATGGATCGCTAAATTCATAATGCCCCATACAAAGGGTGCTATCTGATAAACAACTCACATGTTGGTGGGGAAATCAATGTGCACTGGAATGCTCACAGATACACATTCATACTCCTGGTATTTCCCGTACTCTGTACCGTATCTACTCAGAGTACGTTATTGAATGATATGCCCTACACGTCTGTGAAGATAATATAGTACGTAGTTAATTATCGTCACGTGTCGGACTTTATGGTTGTGCTAGCCATACATGTGGACCAACAGTCACTGCATCTAAGTTTCTCTGATAAAACTATGTAATCGTTATCAGTTATTGACCTACATACACAATCCTTGTACATATATTAACCACTGTCGTGTCGACCCGTAAAGATCCGGGGTAGAATAGGTTTTCAGCAACCCATGCTTGCCGTAAAAAGCGACTATGCTTGTCGTAAAACGGGATCGATGGTCAGGATTGTTGACTTGTCTGATCGATGTCATCGTATCCCAATTGCGTGTATCGATGCTCATGATATCAATCAATGGATTGTCTGGTCCAGACTCGATTATTTACAGACCACCGCCATAGAGCTGGAATATTGATGAGTGCGGCGTTAAACAGCAACAACAACAACAACCACTGTCGTGTCACCAAATCACACGCCATATCAGAGTCTGGATTAACCGACAATCCAGATTGTACGAAAACAACTTTCTCTTAATACGGGCAACTCCAATGAATCTCACGAACTGACTTACTGGCTGTGTATACCCTTTTGGTGCTTGTACTCTTGTTCAATCTCAAAGGTTACTGTAACCGATACGTATGGTTAAAGAGGGACAAGGTACGTCTGTTCTATCAAGTTGGATTCAAGTTCGTAGAAACACCATTTTATGCACTGACAACGCATATCATGATGTATATTCATATACCGATTAATAATTAGTCTAATTATGCAGAAACGATGTCTTAATCTAAATGTGACACTAATTATAACATCTAGACCAAGATTGAAAATAGGTGACGGGTCCCTAATATATTAGCCCGACATTGGCCACTGGATATGTTGTCATGTTATCGAGGTATTCTGTGACCTGCAAATTTGATACATTAGTCACACTCAGGCTATATACACAGTTGTCATCTACACACAAGCGTGGTGTGTTGGCGGAGCATTAAAGCGGGTGTTATAAGTTCTATTGGTTAATATACCATGGGAACCGTTGGAACGCGTGGCCCAGTCGTAAGGCGTCGCAATTCGCCATGCAGAGTTGCACATCCAGAAACCTATGATCGTGGGTTCAAAACTCGGTTCTTTCCCGAATATGTGTCTGGGTTTGTCAGCACCATACCCGTGCTCGTGGGTGTCACTAAAGTGGTTAGCGTATATAAAAACCTGCATCACTTCGGGCTTTCCTCACACATTAAGCAGCGTTAAAACCAACTCAATTTCAACATGTATATTTCCTCAGTGCTCCAATATTTCACATAATCCGCCAACTACAACTATTCCTTTACACTCTGTCACAATTTTACATCAACGGATTATCTATACTAATTCCGTAACCTTTTAATCATACTAATTGATTTGTTAAGGTGTTTGGAAACTTGTCATCTTCCCGAGGCAAGAGAGTTAACTGACTTTAATAGTCCAGTTTCCACCCTTGCCGAACTAAGCTGTAATTCCTGGGCTCGACCGTAGCGCCATCAGTGGCTATTATACGAGTTGTGTCCCTTCTATGCCTCTCCTATGGACCAATCAGATTCCACCTCTCGTATCACTTGCATTTGCTTCAAACAAAATGGCGGCGCCCAGTCAAGACGATCTGATCGATAATCAAGATGTATATTGTGATAAAAAGTGTCTTACATCGCGAAGTGCATCAAATCACGTGAGCACCTTGATTAACAACATGGAAAATGTTGCAAAATGTCGGTTGACACCCATTTGGCGGTGCACATGCTTTGTAAATACTGCAATCGACCGAAATCTGCATGACAGTTTACGAACCGGATTTCGATTTCGTTGCGTGATTGTGATTGGACTATGCAAAGACTCGTTAGTCCAGCCAAAATGTAACTCCATTATACCAGCCTGGTTCGGCAAGGGTGGAAACTGGACTTTTATAGTCAGTTAACCCCTTTGCCTCGGGATGATAGGATTTTTTCTGAGTAAGTAGGAACGCGAGGTGCTTGCCTTTTATGCGCTACTGTCATGTGTTGTCTCTCGATCGCTGACTAGTGTTACAAAGCAGCACTGGGTGACAAAATCATGCTGGCGTGTTTTCTGCATGCATTTTCCGCGAATACGTTTGGGTAGATTCTACAAGGAACGGCTCTTGATGTCATTCCTTATTTTCTCCCTGAAGTAACTAGCGAAAATCCAATGCTCACATGCAGTGTCAGCGTGAATGATAAAATAAGTTGTAACATTATCATTGTCATTATTATGGCGGCATTCCACATACTGTAGAGGGCATCAACAATTATGTCGGTCGCGTGCAATCGTTGTTATTCTCCGAGTGCATAGTTGAAGTATTTATATTTGATTTTAAGAATAATGAATGCGTGCGTGAAATTATGTTATTTAAATTGTGCTAAATATGCGAGTTTATATACGATATCATCATCATTGTGGGTAGTTTAGTAGTTAAGGCATTCACTGGCCACGTCGAAGACCCTGGTTCTATTCCCTACATGGGAACGTATTTGAATATTGTTAAAAGCTGCGTAAAGCCCTACTCCATCACCTATATGTTGACCAGGAGGTTTATTACCCAAGAGGTATGGAATAACCGAGTAAAAGGATCATATGTGCACTTGTGCAAATATCACTTCGATCACTTGCACTAGTGTATTGTTGACGTTATCGGGACGACATTGTTGACGTAATAGCTGAAGACAATGGCGGTTCTCTAAGACGGCGGTCATGATCAATGCAAAGTCTATAGGGGTGTTCAAAAGGATTAAGAAATAATAGGTAATAAATACAGAAATTATTACATTCGCGTCTGTGTCATACTGATTTTTCGAAACTCGTGTAAGAATTTATGCTTTACCCTCGCTCGGGATATACAAGAATTCTGACACTCGCTTAATAAAATCAGTATGACACACATGCTCTTTTAATACTTTTTTTCATAGCCCACGTCTCACTTGCTGAAAATTAATAGCGCATCTGAGTATTATTTTTTGTAAAATGAATTATCAAAGTGGTCGATGCAGGATTTACTCACATCCAGTTGAGCACATTAAATATTCATATCAGTACATTTTGTTGTGCTCGAGCTATATTTGTAACGCATTTTCAAAGATCCAAACATAATTGATGTATTAAAATATATATTTATTCAGTTTAAGAATACCAGGAAATACTGTAAATAAATATTGAATTCAGCTACAAACATCACATATAATTTGCTGTAGTATTTCCGTATATATCACATTTCAAGATATCAAAAAACGAATTTGTGACATCTAGTTTTCGTTTGGACGAATGCAACAGTCTATCCGGGCGACAGGGGTTAAAGGGGGGTAATCCGCAAAACCGGAAGAGAGTTACGTTTCCTGGATCTTTCAACACGTGGGTTGTGTTGATAACTGTTTACATCTTTCTTGCTGTCTGAAGATGAAGCGCACCAACGAAACTGATAATTTTCAGTCAGATGTAAGGCGCATAGCCGATACATTAGGCACATTAAAACTGATTAATATCATTGTTATTGCGTGTAGTCTTGTACATAATGTGAATGACTTGAACTCTGATCACTCCGAGTTAGACTCAGATCAGTGTTAGAGAACCTAGAAATTAGAATTGCTCATTTGCAATTTGGTCATGTTTGCTGTCGACAAAATACATACTTAAAAAGTTTGCCTGTCGAAATAATAATCTTATTGGTAATAAATTCTTTATCTGGAAAGCACTGAAACAAGGTCCAAATATCTATTTCAAAGAGATCCATCTTCTCCAAAGGGTTCGAAATCCGATATTGGTGTTAATGTCTGGTGTCCATGAAACAATATCCCTCGTGTGGGCGAAGTGATAATGTTTATTGTATTTTCACAATTTGGTTAAGTGACAGGATAGTCATCATGTTCATTAGGGAATTACGTTAATGTGTGTACTTAGAAAATATGACAGTAGTCAATATTGCTTTCATTTTCACAGGTATCAGATGACGAAGAGGTTAGTGATGATTTTGAAGGAGAAGATGATGATGCTGAAGATGATGAAGAAGATGATGATATTGAGGATGACGCTCAAGATGGACCTCCAGCTAAAGCTGCTAAGTTGGATAAGAAGTTATACAAACCTCCTACAGCTAACGAGCTGAACACTCTGAAGGAAGCAGAGAGCCTGTTTCAGTCTAACCTGTTCAAACTGCAGGTGAGAGGGGTAGTCATTGACAGGACTCTTCTAGTTTAAAGAATATTGGGGGGGGGGAGGGCACGGAAGGTCCAGCCGTCTAAGGTGCCAGAATTTGCTGTCAGTTGCATCCCTTTGGTGTGCTTGAAAGCTTTGCTCATGGTTTTGAATCCCATCTTCACCCAGATTATCGTGATTATGTTTCTTGTTTCACCAAAGTGCCTGAATAACTACGAAATACTGTTAAAATTGTTATTAAACCAAGCTCACTCCCTCGCACACTTATAAAGATTCTGTTATTTCTCTGCACATGTAACCCTCAGGTGTGGTATAGTGGTTTGGTGGAGCATGCCCTCCCTAGACCTGGAGGACTCTGGTTCAACTCCCACAATCAGGTTTTCACATTATAATAGGCAACATTCTAAATGGCTACGGTATCAAGAGTGAGTGAGTTGGATTTAACACAGCTTTTAACAGTATTCCAGTTATATCCCAGCTTAATGTGGGAGGAAAACCCCAAGTGATGCAGGTCTCAGACTTTCAACCTCGGTGAAACCAACGAGCACTTGTATGGTGCTGACAAACCTAGAAACATAATCAGGGCGAACCGGGGTTCGAACCCACAATCATAGGTTTCTGGCGTGCCCAAGGGATGCAACTCTGCACAGCAATTCTCGGCGCCATAGACGCCTGAGCCTCCCATGCCCCCCTAAAGTATCAAGAGGACCAGTACTAATAAATATAGTTAAAATTTGGACAGTTTTTGTATTGGTAGTTGCCGAGATGGATGAAATCTCATTGGTGTCTCACATCATCATGTGATTCATATCATCATCATTATCATAGTGCTGTTGTATTGGTGTTATCTTTTCCATGTATACTGCAAATAGTGCTGGTTGACATTGTCATCAGTGCATACAAGCAGTCAAGTAACCTTGAAGTGTGGCACATAATGTTTAACATGTTTAAGAAATGCTCAACTAGTACCTGTTGGTATTTTGAATTTTGTATTTTGCATTACCATGGAAACATTTTATTTAGTTGGTGATGGACAGTGCTGTTCAGCTGCAGAGCAGACGAAGAATAATGGTTCCATTGTTATTCTTGAAATTGTCTTGTATGCATTAAGTTCATGACCCAGTGCTGCCTTTTGCATCAAGGAGAGTGATTTTCATTCACATGCATGGGACTTTACACATACATTAGTTCAGAATGGCCATCACTGGCATCCGCATAGGTTTCTGAAGCAAATCTCAAAATACTCTCAAAACTACTCAAGATATCTTTTTGAATCTTCTTACATATTAATCAATATTCCAAACTTATGCTTTTCACAATAGTATCAGTACTTGGAAGCTGTTCTGTTTAATTCAATTTGTTTTGAGTCCTTATTATTCTGAATTTAAGAAGTCATTTAGGTAAAACTTAATTTGATCTGCTCACACTGTATCATATTATGATTTTTAAAGAACAAACAAAATATCCTGACATGTTGTTTTTGAAAAACGAAAAGCCTCCTGCAGACCAGGATCTGTTAAAGTCACCGAGACACCAGGAAATAGGAACAGTCTGACCTCACGATACCTAGGTTGACATAGTGACAACTTGTTTTGCTGGCAGATTTCTTTTAATATTGAAACTGCACAATGCTTTACATTTGAAGATAACAGAGTTGTTGACGGAAGTGACCTTGAAAGAGAAGCGCCATCGGCAGATAGAGATGGCAGTGGAGAAGCTGAAAGAGTCGTTGATGTCTCTACCTAGTGGCTCCAAACATGAGGTAACTATGGTAACACTTGTCTGTCAACTAGTGGCAATATAACTTGTGTGAGAGACTGTCGCTTGACAACCATATTTTGAAATGGAGATGTTTTTTAGTTGTACAAGGATCTATTCTGAAATGTTGCCATTACAGTATTAAAGAAGTTGTTATCCATAAATTGTGTCTACTTTGTCATCGGTCAACTTCTAGGTAATGCCTATCATACAATTCAACAGTGGTTACTTTTGAAATAGTTGGCTATTACAGTTTTTATTTTATATCTATGTTTGTTCTAACCATGTTCTATTGTATATTTTAATTTATCCAGAAGTAACCCATCATTACTATCTATTGGTCTTTACTGACAAATGTTTGTTTCTTTGTTGTTTAACGCCACACTCAGCAATATTCCAGCTGTATCACGGCAGTCTGTAAATAATCAAGCCTGGACCAAACAATCCAGTGATAGATATGAGCATCAATCCACGCAATTGGGATACAATGACATGCATGAAACCAAATCAGCGAGCCTGGCCACTCAAACCCATTACTTGCCTCTTATGAGAAGCATGGTTGCTGAAGACCTATCCTAACCCAGGTCTTGACGGGTCTTACTGACAAATGAATAACAGTTTCAGGTTTCATGACTCACTAGTTGCTTGTGACATAAAGTTAACATTCTTTCCTTCATTCTCCACTTTTATATCTTCATCCAGATCAGTGATCAAAAATGGTTGAAAAAGTCCAAGGTGAAAGTCCCCCTCATGCAGATTCCAAAAATAACCAAAGGGGAATTCCACTTTTTAGCTCCTTGCAGTGTAAAATGTGTTGGGAGCTTTGCCCTTGGAACCTGCATCAAGCCAGATGTTCATGTGGATATCATAGCAGAGATGCCAAAGGTGAGGTACTCAGGTTTTATAGCTTATATACAGCAAAGCATTTGTACATGTCACTCAACAAATAGTGTGATCACCACAAAGATAATAGAATATATCAATATTGCTTAGCTATTTTTCAGTCTCCCTCAAAGACGTGTTGGTGCAATGAGTTCTAAGTTCTAAGCACCATTCCTCATAGAGACGAGTCAGGAATAGTGACATCTTTTGTTGCTGACATAACATGATATCATAGCCATAAAGCCACAAAAACTGCTTCCCTGTGACAAGTCTGTAAAATATGCAGGGTTCTGTAACCTGTAAAAAATGGACAAACATTAGGAATGTGTAGTGAAATAGTTTGATCAATAGACTCAAGTTTTTGTGGATATACCTCTATGACATCATGTAATGGCCACAACAAAAGAAGACTGCCTCTGTGGTCTAGAGGTAGAGCTTCAGCCCGGAGAGCGGAAGGTCCGGGGTTCGATCCCCAACCGCGTCATACCAAAAGATGTTAAAAGATGGTACTTGTTGTTACCCTGTCTGGCGCTCGTCATTAAGGGGCTAAAACAAGGACTGGTCGGCTTGGAGTCAGTATACTGTGTCTGAGTGGGGTATTCATGTTAAACTGCGGCATGGTATCTCAGTGTGCTAGCACTACAAATCGGCATCAGTCCGGTCTAGTACAAGCAGCCACACAAACACACACACGTACATGCACGTCGCTATATAAATGCAATAATCTTGGACGCAACGTTAAACCCCATTTCACCTCACCTCACCACCACAACAAAAGATGTCGCTATTGTGCCATTCCTTCTATGTGAGGATCGGAACTCATGAATCAACCCTCGTATGATCATCCTAACTCTAATGCTTCAGCATCAGGTTACAGCAGCTGTGTTAGCATGTCGTGGAACAAGACTGTCGCCATTAACATTTAGTCCCCAGAAACAGTCCTACTGACTTCACCCTGTTCTTCTGGCGATGTTACCTTTACACGTATAATGAGTACTTTGAATGCTTGGTGTCTTTATCTAACTTACATGCATGACCGCCTCCGTGGTCTAATGGTAGAGCGTCCCCCTGGCGAGCGGAAGGTCCGCCCGCGTCTTACCAAAAGACGTTAAAAGATGGTACTTGTTACCCTGTCTGGCGCTCGGCATTAAGGGGCTAAAACAAGAACTGGTCGGCTCGGAGTCAGTATACTGTGTCTGAGTGGGGTATCCATGTTAAACTGCGGCATGGTATCTCAGTGAGCTAGCACTATAAATCGGCATCAGTCCTGACTAGTACAAGCAGCCACACACGCACACATGTGCATGCACATCGCTATATAAGTGCAATAATCTTGGACGCAACGTTAAACCCCATTTCACCTCACCTAACTTCCATGCTGTGTTGTATGTTTGTTGGAAATGGTAACAAGAGTAGTCCTGTATTATTTGTTTCAGGAATGTCTCCAAGCAAAGGACTTTCTGAACCAGCGCTACTTGCGGAAACGAGCCCTCTACTTGGCAGCCATTGCCAGTCATTTACAGACCAGTCAGCTTGTCCAAGACCTGAAATATAGCCATCACCACGGCAACCACCTCAAGCCCATTCTCATCATTCATATTAAAGGTATTTGGCTTCCATTTGCTGACTTGGATGAGCCTCTGTTAGATTTGTCTGTCTTTGACTCTGGTTAGTCCTAGTTAGGTGGTGTGCAGGCTGGTAGAAAATACAGCCTTTGTAGAAAATTGCATATTCTGATTTGAAGATGCTACTATGGGATTGGATAATGTTCAGAGTGCAACATATTCATCACAGTATACCTTTTAAGATGCCTCAGCAGAATTCATCCCCACACCTATTTGGGCTTGGACGATACACCAACTGTGCGATCCGATATGTATCACGATACCTTGTTCACGATCTGATACATTTCACGATACTTGTATCTGCTCTTATCTGTGGTGCATATGCAATCTTTTTCATAAACAGGATGGCCAAATACCTGGCACACTGACGATTTAGTTGGTAGTATGAGGTATGGCTCAATGGAAGAAAATATTTCCTTTTTTTTACTACTAATTAGTGTTTGGTGTATCAGCCATTAAAGTAAACATTTCAGGTATGAATCAATATTTTTTACTTAAATGTGCGACTGTATCGGGAACAACGATGTATCGTCCCACCATCATGCACTAGTACCTTTGCTAGTCATTAAGATCAGATCCGTGAAGATCCGGGGTAGAATAGGCCTCCAGCAACCCATGCTTGCTGTAAAAGGCGACTAACGGGATTGGGTGGTCAGGCTCGCTGACTTGGTTGATGCATGTTATCGATTGCGTGGATCTATGCCCATGATGTCAATGACTGGATTTTGATTATTTACAGACTGCTGTCATATAGTTGGAATATTGCTGAGTGCTTTGTTAAACAACAAACAAACCAACAAACATTAAGATCAAATAAGAAGGAGTCATAGTATCAATTGCACAAATCATTTACGATGCATCACAATCCTGCGACAAAGCTTTCTATCTTCCATGTTGTTTATACAACGGTCGCATCCTAAACCAGCTTAGGGCTGCGAGGCAATGCAGAACAATGCTGTTGCAAACTGCGATGTTTCTTCCATGGGCCGAGATGTCGGACCTGCCTAGCATGTTTCATGATATCCCAGAGGTATAATCAGTTTTCAGGTTGCCAATTGCTGGTTGGTCTGGCCTAGTGTGGATTATTGACGGGCTGGCCTAGTGTGGATTATTGACGGGTTGCTGTGATGTAGGTGTAATGTTAAGAACTGAAGTGATAAGCACCCTTCACTCACAGGATCATAAATAACAAACTGTGTCTGTCATCAAGAAATTCCATTGCTTTAGTTCCATCTGTGAGAGATTTTGACCTAGTGCAGACACAATCATAAGTTTTTCTTGTGTTGACAGAATGTGATGTGTCAGCCCATTGCACAGTTAGTGTATTTGCGTGTCAGACATGATGTCCAGGTTCCTTCTCCTTATTAGTACTGTTAGAAACTTGTCTTTTTGTGTTCCTAATCCCTGCTCTCTGACTTCATGGTAACGTCTGTGATTTGCCCAGTCCTATACAATACACTCTGCCTCCAGGGGACAGTGGGAAGCCTGTAGAAGTCCATCTACACATCAGCTTGCCGTCTGGCGCCTTCAAACCAAGCCGCTTCAGCATCAGCCAGAGCAATGTGAGGAAGTCGTGGTTCCAGCAGACGGAGGAGGAGGCTGAGACGGAAGGTAATGCCAATATACGACCATCACCAGTGGGACAGGGAGAAATAGTTCCCCAGTACCCCTTGCTTGTTGCCTTGGGGGATTCTGGGTCCGAGTATGTCCCCAGTGCCCCTTGCTTGTTGCCTGGCGGGGATCTTGGGTCCGAGTATGTCCCCAGTACCCCTTGCTTGTTGCCTGGGGGGGATTCTGGGTCCGAGTATGTCCCCAGTACCCCTTGCTTGTTGCCTGGTGGGGATTCTGGGTCCGAGTATGTCCCCAGTACCCCTTGCTTGTTGCCTAGTATGGACACCTTCTGGTCGATTACTGTAAGGGAAGGACCTATGAAGAACCAGGGTACATTAGGTCTTCAGCAACCCATGCTTGCCATAAGAGGCGACTAACTGATCACGTGGTCAGGCTCGCTGACTTGGCTGATGCATGTCATCGTATCCCAATTGCGTGGCTCCATGTTTATGATGTCAATCACTGGATTGTCTGGCCCAGACTTGATTATTTACAGACTGCCATCATATAGCTGGAATATTGCTGCGTGAAGTATTGAGCAACAAGCCAACAAGCAAACAAACAAACAAACTGTAAGGGACGTCTACACATATACACAGTGTCAATAAGCTGAACCCTCGCATGGTTTGTTAATCCAGACAAGTTCTAATCTGGACTTTTTTGAAAGGAGGGCTCTTTCCAGATTAACAATGTGTCATTGTAGCCATGTTGTCTCTAGTTGGTTGGTGTTACGCTCTGCAGGCAGTGACTTGGCACCGACCCCGGTGTACAACACCAGCGTCCTACAGGATATGATGTATGAAGCTCACACCGAGTGTCTGCGACAAGCCCAGAATGACACACTCGGCGTGAGGGAGGGTGTCATGTTGCTCAAAGTCTGGCTGAGACAGAGGGAACTGGACAAGGTATGTGCTGCAACTATGGGTGACTCTTGGGGTCATTTGACCTATTGCAATAGTATGGGTCTATGGGTATATACACTTCATGCAAAGAAACCCCTTTGGGGATTATGGGTTAAAATGGGTCCCCAGCAACTTATGCTATACTACTGAGCACTGGTTGGCATGTAGTTATTGGCTGCTTGTATGAGCCATGTTGGGATTCTGTGGTAGAACAGATCCCAACCATCCCATTGTTGTAAAAGCTGAGCCCTGTAGGAATTCTGGGTAAGGATTGTCCCCAACCATCCTATTGTGGGTTAGGATAGTCCCCGACCATCCCTTTGTTGTACAAGCTGAGCCCTGTGAGAATTCTCGGTTAAAATAGTCCCCGACCATCCTATTGTGGGTTAGGATAGTCCCCGACCATCCCTTCGTACAGCTGAGCCCTGTGGGAATTCTGGGTTAGGATAGTCCCCGACCATCGATTGTTGTAAAATGGCAACTTATGGATCGGATGGTCAGGCTTGTGACATCACTCAGTCATCATAGCCTGATGGCATGGATAGTTGCTCATAATATCAGTCACTGGATTGTCAGGTCAAGTTGATTATTCACAGGCCAGAAATCATGTAGCTGGGATATTTTTAAGTGTGGTGTTAAACAAGAAACAAATTTACCTATGCATGTAGTGTTATTTATGCTTTGAACACTTATGCACTATGAGCTAAAAGTGTCAATGATTTTATGATAACAGTAGTTACTGTGACCTCCAATTCATGAGGATCTTGGTCTGGGATGTTGGTTGAATGTTCTGCTTTGGGCATGTGTTAAGTGTCCCATTTGGGAAGTGAAGTCATAAAACTAGGAGTGTATGTTACTTTCATATGAAGACAGGGCGGCAGGGTAGCCTTGTGGTTAAAGCGTTCGCTCGTCACGTCGAAGACCAGGGTTTGATTCCTCACATGGGTGCAATGTGTGGAGCCCATTTCTGGTATCCCCGCCATGATATTGCTGGAATATTTCTCAAAGCGGTGTAAACCATAATTACTCATTCACTCACTCACATGGAGCCAGACAGATGCATGAAACATTCTGTCTTGAGGTGGTTTTTCATTTTCACTCAGAAATCAGTATGAACAGAACTAAATTGTGAAATCAATAAATGACCGTGAATGACAAGACAAGGTCAATGAATAATTAATGAATTACATTGAAACAAGGTTTTAGGTTTACAATCGTAACAGACAATACCATTGGACAAGTAGTGGCAGCACGAATAAGTAGCAGGCCCTGTAACATAGACAGGGCACTAACGTCTAGGAAGTGTCACTGTCGAATGTCTTGAAAGAGACATGTTCAGGATTCTTGAATCGAGTACAGTGTTGGAAGCTGGTAGAAATTTGTTTTTAGATAGGAACCCAATCCACACTTGGCGAGTAGAGAAAATGCAAGTCGGGTCGAAACACGTTCCAAATCACTTTGTTCATATATACGAGCTTTCTTGAAATTGTCACATCCTGAAATTTCTGTCCTGTGTTTGTCCCCAACCAAGAGAGGTAACTCTAATCAAACTTCCTGTTATAACCTGGCCACTACGCACTTGATATTTTATATGCGTTTCAGTCACTGACAATCATCACAATATCCACAGCCACATAACACATTAGACAAATGTTTCACAACCAGATGTGATGTCATTTAACTATGTATTTAGGTTGCTTTCTTATTATCAGGTCAAATGTAGCTGACAACAATATCAACTTGGACCCAATTTGTTGATTATTTTCCTTCCAGGGCTATGGGTGTTTCAGCAGTTTCGTCATGGCGATGTATGTGGCACACCTCCTGGACTGCCGCAAGCTGCACCGGATGATGAGCAGCTACCAGGTGATGCGGAACACCCTTGTCAGTCTCGGTACGTCCTGTAATTGTGCAGTGTAAGAACACCCTCGTCAGCCTCAGAACGTAGTTGTACAATATCAGAACACCCTTGTCAGTCCCGGTACGTCCTGTAATTGTACAGTGTAAGAACACCCTCGTCAGCCTCAGAAAGTAGTTGTACAATATCAGAACACCCTTGTCAGTCTCGGTACTTCCTGTAATTGTACAGTGTAAGAACACCCTCGTCGCCCTCGGAATGTAGTTGTACAATATCAGAACACCCTTGTCAGTCTTGGTACGTCCTGTAATTGTACAGTGTAAGAACACCCTCGTTGGCCTCGGAATGTAGTTGTACAATATCAGAACACCCTTGTCAGTCTTGGTACTTCCTGTAATTGTACAGTGTAAGAACACCCTTGTCGGCCTCGGAATGTAGTTGTACAATATCAGAACACTCTTGTCAGTCTTGGTACTTCCTGTAATTGTACAGTGTAAGAACACCCTCGTCGGCCTCGGAATGTAGTTGTACAATATCAGAACACCCTAGTCAGTCTTGGTACTTCCTGTAATTGTACAGTGTAAGAACACCCTTGTCAGCCTCAGAACGTAGTTGTACAATATCAGAACACCCTAGTCAGTCTTGGTACTTCCTGTAATTGTACAGTGTAAGAACACCCTCGTCAGCCTCAGAAAGTAGTTGTACAATATCAGAACACCCTTGTCAGTCTTGGTACTTCCTGTAATTGTACAGTGTAAGAACACCCTCGTCAGCCTCGGAACGTAGTTGTACAATATCAGAACAACCTTGTCAGTCCCGGTACGTCCTGTAATTGTACAGTGTAAGAACACCCTCGTCAGTCTCGGTACCTAGTTGTACAATATCAGAACACCCTTGTCAGTCTTGGTACTTCCTGTAATTGTACAATATCAGAACACCTTTGTCAGTCTCGGTACGTACAATGTTGTTGTACAGTGTCAGAACACCCTTGTTTTGATACATAAGTTAGAGTGAAAAAACAGTTTGGATTCTTTAAATTTGTTTGTGATAATGTCGTTACACTACATACACTTTGCGTAGACTGATGGCTGACACCACAGGTTTCACTGCTTCCAGGCTGAGCTGATACAGACTCTCCTCAGCTGAAAGTATTTGTGTGCATGATGTGACTACTGACCTGCTGAGTGCCTTCATTTCAGCCAGCACAGACTGGGCCACCAGCCCTCCCTCTATGTGTAGAGACAAGTCAGACCTGCTTCGGCCATCCCTGCACACCTTCCAGGAACACTGCGACATCGTCTTTCTGGACCCCAGCGGCTACCTCAACCTCTGCTGCAACATCACGCAAGCCGTCTACAGAAGGGTGAGTCCACATAATAAGCAGATAGTTTACAAATCATGATAATACCAGGGCTGGAGACCAGTGTTGGAATAGGATGTGATATACGCAACAAAATTAATCGACCTGTCTTCAGCAACCCATGTCAAAAGAGGCGACTAACGGGATTGGGTGGTCAGGCTCGGTGACTTGGTTGATGCATGTCAATTTATTCCAATTGTGTAGATGGATGCTCATGATATCATTCACTGGTTTGTCTGGTCAAGGTTTGACTATTATTTACAGAAGCCCCCATATATAGCTGGAATATTGCTGAGTGCAGCGTTTAACATTGAACAAACAACATTAATCTTGTGGACAGGTGATGTTGGGGCGGATATGATGTATACCACAACATTGATCATGTTAATACCAGGCCTGGGGACCGGTGATGCTGGGTCGGATATGATGTATGCCACAACATTGATCATGTTAATACCAGGCCTGGGGACCGGTGATGTTGGGGCGGATATGATGTATGCCACAACATTGATCATGTTAATACCAGGCCTGGGGACCGGTGATGCTGGGTCGGATATGATGTATGCCACAACATTGATCATGTTAATACCAGGCCTGGGGACCGGTGATGTTGGGGCGGATATGATGTATACCACAACATTGATCATGTTAATACCAGGCCTGGGGACCGGTGATGTTGGGGCGGATATGATGTATGCCACAACATTGATCATGTTAATACCAGGCCTGGGGACCGGTGATGCTGGGTCGGATATGATGTATGCCACAACATTGATCATGTTAATACCAGGCCTGGGGACCGGTGATGCTGGGTCGGATATGATGTATGCCACAACATTGATCATGTTAATACCAGGCCTGGGGACCGGTGATGTTGGAGCGGATATGATGTATGCCACAACATTGATCATGTTAATACCAGGCCTGGGGACCGGTGATGCTGGGTCGGATATGATGTATGCCACAACATTCATCATGTTAATACCAGGCCTGGGGACCGGTGATGTTGGGTTAGGACCATACAACTTTTATACAAGGAGCAAAAATATTCCCTTTGGCACTTAACATCAGGATCTTTCCATTTGATCTTGTACCTCTTGGGTAACAACCATGTTTTTGTTAGTGGTTCCAAAGTGGAGATACCCGTTGTATATCCACAGGTGCGACATGAGGCAGACCTGGCCATCAAGTGTTTAGAAGGCACGGAGGCCAACACCTTCGAGACACTTCTCCTCAAGCCTGTCTCTTTCATTCGGAAATTTGACCAGTGTTTTCAGTAAGTTTACAATACCTTCGAGACACTTCTCCTCAAACCTGTATCTTTCTTTCGGAAATATGTTTTCTGTATTTTATCAATTTATCAATTTGAAATGTTATTTTAGCTCACCTGACTGAACGTCATGTTGACTTTTGTCATTGACTGTTTGTCTGGCGTCCTCATTAACATCTGGGTCCGGTTCCACAAAGCGATCTAAGTGCTATGATTGTCGTAAGCCTATGTTAAAGTATGGGAGTACGACGATCTTAGCCCTAAGATCGCTTTATTGAACGGGGCCTTGATCATCAGGAACCAATGGAGCTGAAACTTCACAAACTAGTTTCCGCCAATGATGGCACCGCACTTTTTTCAAGAGGTTCCGATCCGCTTATCAGTAATCAGTATATATTTTTGATACGCACGCCATATTTAGTTAGTTGTTAGTCTTGGGGATCAAGGTGTGTGTTCCGTTTGCTTCAGATATTGAAATTTTGACCATGATTTGACCTTTTCAATTTCACCCCACTGAAAGCTAATAACTTTTGCTGGGGATTACTCTGCCATTTTCTTTCCAAATGTCATAAAGTTTGGTACATGTGTAGTTTAAGTGGGATCAGCCTCAAACTTCTCGTACCCGTTCCAAAAATGTTTACGGTATGTGTGTACAAACAGTTAGATCTCAAGTGTCACAAAAGGAAGCTTTTCTGTAGAATAGTAAAGCTCATAACATCCCCTTTTCTGGACAAATTTTTTAAGAACGAGAAAAATAGTTATGGGGATGTTATTCTGAGCAATGATTTGTTAATCTGGAATTTGTTTTGCGGATGATATTGCTATAAATAGTACTGACTGGATTATGAGGTTTTTGACTGTACAGTATATTCCCTGTTTAATTATCAAGTATTTCGGAGATGGAAGATGTGAAGAAATCAGTGTCCAAACTGCAGCTTGAGGACAGCTTGATGGACCACGGCGGCCATTACGTCCATACCTGTCTGCCGGCCCTCCTGAAGTTGATGGGGCAGGCCCTGGGGAACAGGATCCTCCTGCTGCAGCCCCAGCTGACGGCCTGCCCACAGGTAGGTGCCAGAAACTACGTCTGGACTTTTGACAAACAAAGAATCTTGTTCTTTCCAAGTAATTGATTTTTTAATCTACCAGTGAATTTGTGAAAATGATTCTTGAAATGAATTATTGTCCCTTTTCTGAAACAGTGGAGCATTACAGAGAAGCCCCCGGGACCGGAGACTGTGGGAAGCTTGATGTTTGGCTTGCTACTGAACCCACAGACGGCAAACAGCATCATCAACAAAGGTCCACCTGCTCAGGCACCAGAGGTCAGAGGTCATCCTTGTCTGTGTCTCTTGTGATTTGGGCGGTCGGGTAGCCTAGTGGTTAAAGCGTTAGTTCGTCACGCTGAAGATCCGGGTTCAATTCCCGACATGGGCACAATGTGTGAAGCCCATTTCTGGTGTCCCCCGCCGTGATATTGCTGGAATATTGCTAAAAGCGACGTAAAACCATACTCACTCACTCACTCACTCTTGTGATTGAGAAATTATTGGAACACATCAGTAGAGCTGTTCTTTGTGCATTCTGTACAAATCCTTAGACATTCATAAGCATCCATTGTGGGATTCAGGGTTAGAATAGGTGCCCAGCAAACTTGGCTAGAGGTGGCCTAATGGATGAGTTGGTCAGACTTAGTGACTTAGTTGATTGTGTGTCAACAGCGTGGCTCATTCGCACCATTTTGATCACTGGATTGTCCGATCCAGGCTTGATTATTTACTGGCCACGTCATATACCTGATATGATATGATGTTGCAGGGGTTGTGAAACAGCAAAAAATCACTTAAGGGATCCTGGAGAAAAATATTTTCCCAAGCACCTCTAGACTGTCCGAACCAACTACAGTGAGGTCACGAGGTCACGAGGTCACGAGGTCACAATCTGTGGCCTGGAGGACTGGAGTTGCTATCAGAGTTGGTTATTAGCAAACTGCATTATTATAGCTGGAATAGTGTTGACTCGGGCAGAACACAACATTCACTCCCTCAATCAACTAAACGCAAACTGCATTATTATAGCTGGAATAGTGTTGACTCGGGCAGAACACAACATTCACTCCCTCAATCAACTAAACGCAAACTGCATTATTATAGCTGGAATAGTGTTGACTCGGGCAGAACACAACATTCACTCCCTCAATCAACTAAACGCAAACTGCATTATTATAGCTGGAATAGTGTTGACTCGGGCAGAACACAACATTCACTCCCTCAATCAACTAAACGCAAACTGCATTATTATAGCTGGAATAGTGTTGACTCGGGCAGAACACAACATTCACTCCCTCAATCAACTAAACGCAAACTGCATTATTATAGCTGGAATAGTGTTGACTCGGGCAGAACACAACATTCACTCCCTCAATCAACTAAACGCAAACTGCATTATTATAGCTGGAATAGTGTTGACTTGGGCAGAACACAACATTCACTCCCTCAATCAACTAAACGCAAACTGCATTATTATAGCTGGAATAGTGTTGACTCGGGCAGAACACAACATTCACTCCCTCAATCAACTAAACGCCCCATGAAGATCTGGGTTAGAATAGGTCTTCAGCAACCCATTCTTGCCGTAAAAGGCGACTACGCTTGTCGTAAAAGGCGACTATGCTTGTCATAAGAGTTGACTAACAGGATCATGTGGTCAGGCTTTCTGACTTGGTTGATGCATGTCATCGATCCCAATTGCATAGATTGATGCTCATGATGTCAATCACTGGATATGGCTGGAATATTGCTGGTTGCGGCGTTAAACAACAAACAAACAAACAAACAATCAACTAAACAATTTATTTGGATTATATATATTTTTTCACTGTACAAACAACATAGAGTCAGAGAAGTCTACCTCTGTCTGGTCATGGTCGAATTATAACCTTCATTCTGTCAGCATGAGTAGTTAACATCTGTTACCTGTCATTTGGACCTTATTTCCACACAGCATAATATGACTGAGATACTGTTCAAAGTAGCGATAAATCAAGCTCACTCTCTATTGGATTTGGGCGGTCGGGTAGCCTAGTGGTTAAAGCGTTTGCTCGTCACGCCGAAGACCCGGGTTCGATTCCCGACATGGGTACAATGTGTGAAGCCCATTTCTGGTGACCCCCGCCGTGATATTGCTGGAATATCGCTAAAAGCGGCGTAAAACCATACTCACTCACTCACTTACTCTATTGGATTCTGCCCATTGTAAAATAATGAAAAATGACAACCAGTTAAATTCTGAAAAGCAATATTATTCATCTTCTGCTTATTGTCTGTACCATATATTGAACGAGTCCTGAGAGACAGGCTTCATGCCAACAAGGCAACATGTCATGGATATTGAGATAGCTCTTGGAAACTCCCAAAATGAAATATTTTTCAAATTATTTTCAACTATCTACCAAATACAATCAGTCTGCAAAACTAGAACTGATTAATGTGTGGTCTTTGTACTGTTAAGTTTGTAACGACATTATGATGTGGTGTGGGCTGTGTTGAGTCTCAGTGACTGTAACGACATTATGATGTGGTGTGGGTTGTGTTGAGTCTCAGTGACTGTACGACATTATGATGTGGTGTGGGTTGTGTTGAGTCTCCGTGATTGTAACGACATTATGATGTGGTGTGGGCTGTGTTGAGTCTCTGTGACTGTAACGACATTATGATGTGGTGTGGGTTGTGTTGAGTCTCAGTGACTGTAACGACATTATGATGTGGTGTGGGTTGTGTTGAGTCTCAGTGACTGTAACGACATTATGATGTGGTGTGGGTTGTGTTGAGTCTCAGTGACTGTGACGACATTATGATGTGGTGTGGGTTGTGTTGAGTCTCAGTGACTGTGACGACATTATGATGTGGTGTGGGTTGTGTTGAGTCTCAGTGACTGTAACGACATTATGATGTGGTGTGGGTTGTGTTGAGTCTCAATGACTGTAACGACATTATGATGTGGTGTGGGCTGTGTTGAGTCTCAAAGACTGTAACGACATTATGATGTGGTGTGGGTTGTGTTGAGTCTCAGTGACTGTAACGACATTATGATGTGGTGTGGGCTGTGTTGAGTCTCAGTGACTGTACGACATTATGATGTGGTGTGGGTTGTGTTGAGTCTCAGTGACTGTAACGACATTATGATGTGGTGTGGGTTGTGTTGAGTCTCCGTGACTGTAACGACATTATGATGTGGTGTGGGTTGTGTTGAGTCTCCGTGATTGTAACGACATTATGATGTGGTGTGGGTTGTGTTGAGTCTCTGTGACTGTAACGACATTATGATGTGGTGTGGGTTGTGTTGAGTCTCAGTGACTGTGACGACATTATGATGTGGTGTGGGCTGTGTTGAGTCTCTGTGACTGTAACGACATTATGATGTGGTGTGGGTTGTGTTGAGTCTCAGTGACTGTAACGACATTATGATGTGGTGTGGGTTGTGTTGAGTTTCAGTGACTGTAACGACATTATGATGTGGTGTGGGTTGTGTTGAGTCTCAGTGACTGTAACGACATTATGATGTGGTGTGGGTTGTGTTGAGTCTCAGTGACTGTAACGACATTATGATGTGGTGTGGGTTGTGTTGAGTCTCCGTGATTGTAACGACATTATGATGTGGTGTGGGCTGTGTTGAGTCTCAGTGACTGTAACGACATTATGATGTGGTGTGGGTTGTGTTGAGTCTCTGTGACTGTAATGACAATATGATGTGGTGTGGGTTGTGTTGAGTCTCAGTGACTGTAACGACATTATGATGTGGTGTGGGTTGTGTTGAGTCTCAGTGATTGTAACGACATTATGATGTGGTGTGGGCTGTGTTGAGTCTCCGTGATTGTAACGACATTATGATGTGGTGTGGGCTGTGTTGAGTCTCTGTGACTGTAACGACATTATGATGTGGTGTGGGTTGTGTTGAGTCTCAGTGACTGTAACGACATTATGATGTGGTGTGGGTTGTGTTGAGTCTCAGTGACTGTGACGACATTATGATGTGGTGTGGGTTGTGTTGAGTCTCAGTGACTGTGACGACATTATGATGTGGTGTGGGTTGTGTTGAGTCTCAGTGACTGTAACGACATTATGATGTGGTGTGGGTTGTGTTGAGTCTCAATGACTGTAACGACATTATGATGTGGTGTGGGCTGTGTTGAGTCTCAAAGACTGTAACGACATTATGATGTGGTGTGGGTTGTGTTGAGTCTCAGTGACTGTAACGACATTATGATGTGGTGTGGGCTGTGTTGAGTCTCAGTGACTGTACGACATTATGATGTGGTGTGGGTTGTGTTGAGTCTCAGTGACTGTAACGACATTATGATGTGGTGTGGGTTGTGTTGAGTCTCCGTGACTGTAACGACATTATGATGTGGTGTGGGTTGTGTTGAGTCTCCGTGATTGTAACGACATTATGATGTGGTGTGGGTTGTGTTGAGTCTCTGTGACTGTAACGACATTATGATGTGGTGTGGGTTGTGTTGAGTCTCAGTGACTGTGACGACATTATGATGTGGTGTGGGCTGTGTTGAGTCTCTGTGACTGTAACGACATTATGATGTGGTGTGGGTTGTGTTGAGTCTCAGTGACTGTAACGACATTATGATGTGGTGTGGGTTGTGTTGAGTTTCAGTGACTGTAACGACATTATGATGTGGTGTGGGTTGTGTTGAGTCTCAGTGACTGTGACGACATTATGATGTGGTGTGGGTTGTGTTGAGTCTCAGTGACTGTAACGACATTATGATGTGGTGTGGGTTGTGTTGAGTCTCCGTGATTGTAACGACATTATGATGTGGTGTGGGCTGTGTTGAGTCTCAGTGACTGTAACGACATTATGATGTGGTGTGGGTTGTGTTGAGTCTCTGTGACTGTAATGACAATATGATGTGGTGTGGGTTGTGTTGAGTCTCAGTGACTGTAACGACATTATGATGTGGTGTGGGTTGTGTTGAGTCTCAGTGATTGTAACGACATTATGATGTGGTGTGGGCTGTGTTGAGTCTCCGTGATTGTAACGACATTATGATGTGGTGTGGGCTGTGTTGAGTCTCTGTGACTGTAACGACATTATGATGTGGTGTGGGTTGTGTTGAGTCTCTGTGACTGTAACGACATTATGATGTGGTGTGGGTTGTGTTGAGTCTCAGTGACTGTAACGACATTATGATGTGGTGTGGGTTGTGTTGAGTCTCCGTGATTGTAACGACATTATGATGTGGTGTGGGCTGTGTTGAGTCTCTGTGACTGTAACGACATTATGATGTGGTGTAGGTTGTGTTGAGTCTCCGTGATTGTAACGACATTATGATGTGGTGTGGGTTGTGTTGAGTCTCAGTGACTGTGACGACATTATGATGTGGTGTGGGTTGTGTTGAGTCTCAGTGACTGTAACGACATTATGATGTGGTGTGGGCTGTGTTGAGTCTCTGTGACTGTAACGACATTATGATGTGGTGTGGGTTGTGTTGAGTCTCAGTGACTGTGACGACATTATGATGTGGTGTGGGTTGTGTTGAGTCTCAGTGACTGTGACGACATTATGATGTGGTGTGGGTTGTGTTGAGTCTCAGTGACTGTAACGACATTATGATGTGGTGTGGGTTGTGTTGAGTCTCAGTGACTGTAACGACATTATGATGTGGTGTGGGTTGTGTTGAGTCTCAGTGACTGTAACGACATTATGATGTGGTGTGGGTTGTGTTGAGTCTCTGTGACTGTAACGACATTATGATGTGGTGTGGGTTGTGTTGAGTCTCAGTGACTGTGACGACATTATGATGTGGTGTGGGTTGTGTTGAGTCTCAGTGACTGGAACGACATTATGATGTGGTGTGGGTTGTGTTGAGTCTCCGTGATTGTAACGACATTATGATGTGGTGTGGGTTGTGTTGAGTCTCAGTGACTGTGACGACATTATGATGTGGTGTGGGTTGTGTTGAGTCTCAGTGACTGTGACGACATTATGATGTGGTGTGGGTTGTGTTGAGTCTCAGTGACTGTGACGACATTATGATGTGGTGTGGGTTGTGTTGAGTCTCAGTGACTGGAACGACATTATGATGTGGTGTGGGTTGTGTTGAGTCTCCGTGATTGTAACGACATTATGATGTGGTGTGGGCTGTGTTGAGTCTCTGTGACTGTAACGACATTATGATGTGGTGTGGGTTGTGTCGAGTCTCTGTGACTGTAACGACATTATGATGTGGTGTGGGTTGTGTTGAGTCTCAGTGACTGTGACGACATTATGATGTGGTGTGGGTTGTGTTGAGTCTCAGTGACTGTAACGACATTATGATGTGGTGTGGGCTGTGTTGAGTCTCTGTGACTGTAACGACATTATGATGTGGTGTGGGTTGTGTTGAGTCTCAGTGACTGTGACGACATTATGATGTGGTGTGGGTTGTGTTGAGTCTCAGTGACTGTGACGACATTATGATGTGGTGTGGGTTGTGTTGAGTCTCAGTGACTGTAACGACATTATGATGTGGTGTGGGCTGTGTTGAGTCTCCGTGATTGTAACGACATTATGATGTGGTGTGGGCTGTGTTGAGTCTCAGTGACTGTATCGTTTGTTTCAGGCTCGAGAGTTCCGTGAGCTGTGGGGGGACAAGTCGGAACTCCGGCGGTTCCAGGACTCCAGTATCTGTGAGGCAGTTGTGTGGATGACGTCCTCTCTTATCAGCAAGAGAAGACACGTTTGCTCCAAAGTTGTCAAACACATCCTCAACAGGTATCTTAACTTTGTGTGTAGTTTAGCTTAATATTGCAGAGATGAATCTAGCAAAAACATTAGTACAGGGATTTAGCAATCTTAGCATCCTTGGCAGCCAAATTGGGGAAAAAACAATATTTTGTTTACATTTGGGATTTTTTAGATGTTTATATGTTTAAATCCAGATGCAATTTTCAGTGCAATAAGTTAACACTTAGGTGATACACCTACTGTGTTTTTATCCCCCGCCGTCCGTCCGTACGTCCCACCTGTTTGTTGCCGCGATATCTCAAGAACTAAACACTGGATTGTCTTCATATTTGGAACTATGGTGTATATACAGACTCCGCAGACACCAGTCGGTTTTGGTGACCTTGACCCCATTTTCAAGGTCACAGCAGGCATATCTGCTTTTGGAGTTGGAAAACGGTGTTGCCGCGATATCTCAAGAACTAAACACTGGATTGTCTTCATATTTGGAACTATGGTGTATATACAGACTCCGCAGACACCAGTCGGTTTTGGTGACCTTGATCCCATTTTCAAGGTCACAGCAGACAAATCTGCTTTTAGAGTTGGAAAACGGTGTTGCCGCGATATCTCAAGAACTAAACACTGGATTGTCTTCATATTTGGAACTATGGTGTATATACAGACTCCGCAGACACCAGTCGGTTTTGGTGACCTTGATCCCATTTTCAAGGTCACAGCAGACAAATCTGCTTTTAGAGTTGGAAAACGGTGTTGCCGCGATATCTCAAGAAGTAAACACTGGATTGTCTTCATATTTGGAACTATGGTGTATATACAGACACCGCAGACACCAGTCGGTTTTGGTGACCTTGACCCCATTGTCAAGGTCACAGCAGGCAAATCTGCTTTTGGAGTTAGAAAACGGTGTTGCCGCGATATCTCAAGAACTAATCGCTGGATTGTCTTCATATTTGGAACTATAGTGTATATACAGACACCGCATACACCTGTCAGATTTGGTGACCTTGACCCCATTTTCAAGGTCACAGCAGGCAAATCTGTTTTTGGAGTTGGAAAACGGTGTTGCCACAATATCTCAAGAACTAATCGCTGGATTGTCTTCATATTTGGTAGTATGGTGTACAGGCGGGGGATATTTCGTCACTCTGTGACAAATACTTGTCAATGTTGAGCTAGGCTACCTGTAGATTTAACCATGCTAAATTGAATTTGGAACCGAACACACAGCAGTAGGTTTATCTCCGTTCTACCATGATTAAATATGACGCAAACTCTTTGGTGTTAGCAAATATATTGAGTGAAGCGGCATGGGTTGAGTCCAGTGTTTTGAGTGGGTTGTCGGTCTGAATTATGGAATCATCGACAACAGCCTGTAAACAAAATATGGCGCTGTATATGCTCAAGCAGTTTGTGTACACCGTTATACTTCAATCGAACATATTTCAGGTATTGAAAGCACATAAGCGCAGCAACTTCATAAGCTTACTTGAAATACATTCTCTTTGTAGATTTCTATCGTGTTTTCTGCACGAAATGTATTGCCAAACATGCTATGAATAGTGTAGTAACCGCAGCTTTGCATTTTGTCACCTGTAATTGTGGATATAATTATTACCGGTAGCTCACCGGTTCTGAAGGACCAAGGTGAACTTATGCGATACCGTGGCGTCTGTCGTCCGTCTGTCTGTCTGTACGTCAACAATGTATTCAAACGACCTCTTCTTCTGAACCACTAATTGGTGGAAATTAACTGAAATTTGACTGGAAGCATCCCTAGGTGGTGGGGATTCAAATTGTAGAAATGGTGGGGCTGAGGGGTGGGGCCAAATAGGGGTAATTTGGCTAAAATGCTTTAAACGACTTCTTCTCTGGAACTAAGATATAGATATCAACCATATTTGGTTGGAAGCATCACTAGGTGGTGGGGATTCAAAATTGTACAAATGGTGGGGCTGACCCCCAAGGGGCTGAGGGTCTGGGCCAAATAGGGGTAATTTGGCTAAAATGCTTTAAACGACTTCTTCTCTGGAACTAAGATATAGATATCAACCATATTTGGTTGGAAGCATCACTAGGTGGTGGGGATTCAAAATTGTACAAATGGTGGGGCTGACCCCCCAAGGGGCTGAGGGGCGGGGCCAAATAGGGGTAATTTGTCTATATTGCTTTAAACGACTTCTTCTCTGGAACTAAGATATAGATATCAACCATATTTGGTTGGAAGCATCACTAGGTGGTGGGGATTCAAAATTGTACAAATGGTGGGGCTGACCCCCAAGGGGCTGAGGGTCTGGGCCAAATAGGGGTAATTTGGCTAAAATGCTTTAAACGACTTCTTCTCTGGAACTAAGATATAGATATCAACCATATTTGGTTGGAAGCATCTCTAGGTGGTGGGGATTCAAAATTGTACAAATGGTGGGGCTGACCCCCAAGGGGCTGAGGGTCTGGGCCAAATAGGGGTAATTTGGCTATATTGCTCTAAGCGACTTCTTCTCTGGAACTAAGAGATAGATATCAAGATTATCCTCACCCTATAATTAACATGTACATTGTATACATTTCTTGGTTATGAAGAGAATAATACCTTTAATATGATTTATCCTGGATCAAAACATGGAAACGGTTCAGATTTTTATGCTACATTTGTAAGTAGAGAAATACACATTCACGCTGTCAGATTTGCCATCCACCAATTTTAAATGCTGACAGAGTCAAAATTACGAAATATTTGCAGGATTATATACATGTAGAATGTAAATGTATATTTTGTAATGATTGCGTAAATATCCAGGTGAGCGATACAGGCCTTATGGGCCTCTTGTTTAAATAGGCCTACAGACAATGACTGAAAAAAGTACTATTCTATTAATATTAGATTCCGTGTTGATGCGGCAGTCAAACCATCTGTTTCATTCAGAGAAGGTTTGTTGTGATGTAATAGCGTCTGATTGACCAATCAGAAACGAGTAATTTCCAAATTCATGGTACAATATTAATTCCTATTTTTTGGCCCTGTTTTCATTGACACACAAGTCTCTGCAAAGCCTTGAGATTAGTGAGATCTATAGTAACATGAATTATGTCTCCCCCAGAATGGAGGGAGACATATTGTTTTTGGCACGGTTCCCGTCGGCGTCGGCGTTGGCGTTGGCGTCGGCGTTCCCACCGTTTCCGGGCCATAACTCAGAAACCGTCTAATATTTTTTCGCGAAACTTTGTATACACATTTACCCAGCACTGAAGTGGTGCCTTTTGCTATTTAGAGATTTTTGACATTTTTATTTTTTCTCGTTTCCATGGAGATAACTTGAACATAGGCTCTGAATGGGGGTAAGCTTTGTTTCCTGACCATAACTCGGAAACCGTTTAATATTTTTTCGCGAAACTTTGTATACACATTAACCCAACACTTAAGTGGTGCCTTTTGCTATTTAGAGATTTTTGACATTTTTATTTTTTCTCGTTTCCATGGAGATAACTTGAACATAGACTCTGAATGGGGGTAAGCTTTGTTTCCTGACCATAACTCGGAAACGGTTTAATATTTTTTCGCGAAACTTTGTATACACATTAACCCAACACTTAAGTGGTGCCTTTTGCTATTTAGAGATTTTTGACATTTTTATTTTTTCTCGTTTCCATGGAGATAACTTGAACATAGACTCTGAATGGGGGTAAGCTTGGTTTCCGGACCATAACTCAGAAACCGGGGTAAGCTTTGTTTCCTGACCATAACTCAGAAACCGTTTAATATTTTTTCGCGAAACTTTGTATACACATTAACCCAACACTTAAGTGGTGCCTTTTGCTATTTAGAGATTTTTGACATTTTTATTTTTTCTCGTTTCCATGGAGATAACTTGAACATAGACTCTGAATGGGGGTAAGCTTGGTTTCCGGACCATAACTCAGAAACCGGGGTAAGCTTTGTTTCCTGACCATAACTCGGAAACCGTTTAATATTTTTTCGCGAAACTTTGTATACACATTAACCCAACACTTAAGTGGTGCCTTTTGCTATTTAGAGATTTTTGACATTTTTATTTTTTCTCGTTTCCATGGAGATAACTTGAACATAGACTCTGAATGGGGGTAAGCTTGGTTTCCGGACCATAACTCAGAAACCGGGGTAAGCTTTGTTTCCTGACCATAACTCAGAAACCGTTTAATATTTTTCGCGAAACTTTGTATACACATTAACCCAGCACTTAAGTGATGCCTTTTGCTATTTAGAGATTTTTGACATTTTTATTTTTTCTCGTTTCCATGGAGATAACTTGAACATAGACTCTGAATGGGGGTAAGCTTTGTTTCCGGACCATAACTCAGAAACCGGGGTAAGCTTTGTTTCCTGACCATAACTCAGAAACCGTTTAATATTTTTCACGAAACTTTGTATACACATTAACCCAGCACTTAAGTGGTGCCTTTTGCTATTTAGAGATTTTTGACATTTTTATTTTTTCTCGTTTCCATGGAGATAACTTGAACATAGACTCTGAAGGGGGGTAAGCTTGGTTTCCTGACCATAACTCAGAAACCGTTTAATATTTTTTCGCGAAACTTTGTATACACATTAACCCAGCACTGAAGTGGTGCCTTTTGCTATTTAGAGATTTTTGACATTTTTATTTTTTCTCGTTTCCATGGAGATAACTTGAACATAGACTCTGAATGGGGGTAAGCTTTGTTTCCGGACCATAACTCGGAAACCGTTTAATATTTTTTCGCGAAACTTTGTATACACATTAACCCAGCACTGAAGTGGTGCCTTTTGCTATTTAGAGATTTTTGACATTTTTATTTTTTCTCGTTTCCATGGAGATAACTTGAACATAGACTCTGAATGGGGGTAAGCTTTGTTTCCGGACCATAACTCGGAAACCGTTTAATATTTTTTCGCGAAACTTTGTATACACATTAACCCAGCACTGAAGTGGTGCCTTTTGCTATTTAGAGATTTTTGACATTTTTATTTTTTCTCGTTTCCATGGAGATAACTTGAACATAGACTCTGAATGGGGGTAAGCTTTGTTTCCGGACCATAACTCGGAAACCGTTTAATATTTTTTCGCGAAACTTTGTATACACATTAACCCAGCACTGAAGTGGTGCGCATTAGTTGTTTGAAATTTCTAGGAGTTCTATTTTTGGCTCTGTTATTTAGTAATGGAGGGTGGGAATGAAGAGATGGGGTTTTACGTGAAGTAAACGAATGAATGGGGGTTAGGGGAGTGGGGGGAGACATATGTTTTTACGAGTAAAAACACTTTCTAGTTGAGAAATAGTTTTATTTCAGTTTCGGAATTTTAACTGCAGAACACCCGCCTTTGAGCAGGTCTAAAAAAAATTGACAAGTTTTTAACTCACTTTTACATTATCCATGTGAATTTAGGTTATAGGTCTTTGTACTGTATGTCAGCACTGAAGCATACAATCTCTTCTCTAAATCTGCTGAATATATCAGTATCATTTTTGCATCACATTTTCTTGGGGTGAATAAGCTTTGGTTGACTTCGTGGACGTTTATGGTCACCATTGTTCAAAAACGGTTGTTAACCTTCTAGCGGCTTAAAGGCAGCTTGGGTTGTATACTCCCCAGGGAGCTGAGAATGATTCTTAGTGCACATTGATCCAGTGACCGGGGTAATAATAGAGCTTTGAGCATGTCCCTGAGTGGTGTGGAAATATGTGCAATATTAATGCCCTATCGTTCTTCTTCTTATTATTATATCATCATCATCATTTATTGTATTCAGGCCATAGGCCCATATACATACAATAATGTCATATCAAGGGTATCAGTCAGACTCTTGGCATATGTCTGATAACACAGCAGTCAATATGTTACACTTTGTCCTGTCAGACATGCAGATATCCCATCATGCAACATTCATTTCCTGAGTCAACATCTTGACTCCCTTCTGCACCTGCCGAAACCAAAGGGAGACAACTCTGTGTATGGCACAGGAGAAGAGGAGCATATGGCTATAGTACAATCCCTGGACCAGTTGAGTAAACTCCTCCATCGCCTTGATGACCTGCCGCTCAGTGTCAAGTCAGTCCAAGGAGTGGCACCCGTCTTCAGATTTGCAGAGGTGGGTTGGCAGGACATCATTAGTCCTATAAAGGACAGGTTATGTAAGGTTCCGCCAGATTCGGGGGATTTCCAGTCATAACATGGCTGGTTATTTCATTGTTAATATTTTGATGATATTTTCTGTGACTACATGACAATGTTTGGCTATTTGAGATCTTTGGGACGATAAAGAAAATATAGACAAACACTTAGCTAGGTTCCCATTCATGAAGACATACATTTGGCAGTCTTTGGGAAGGGTCACCTGTTTCTTGAATTTATGGATGAAAAATCACAATCCCCCCACTTGTAATACGTGACAGGTCAATAATATATAGGAGATATAAAAGGTAAAATTAATGCATTATTGCATGTATAAAGTAAAATGTAAACTTCATAATTAGCGAGGCTGAATTATATATACTTGTGGTATGTTTCAGGTATTTCCTGCTATGCCTGCAATACCAGCTAACATTCAGACGACAAACGCATCAACAGGATCCGAGTTTCTCCCACACCCTGACAAACCAGCCCCTTTCTATATGCCCACGATGACTGGTGGGTGGTAGTTGATCTGTGTGACATGTATCTTGATTGTCCTTTCCATAATGCATAGCAGAGTGTGTGGGTAGCCTAGTGGTAAATGCCATCGCTTGTCACACTCCAGACTGGAATTTATTTCCACACATGAATACAATATGTGAAGCCGATTCTTGGTTGTCCCTGCTGAGATATTGCTGGAATACAACTTAGAGTGTTGAAAACAATATTCCCTCACAAGGACTGAGTATTGCCTGGGATCGGGTACTGGACGGACAATAGCACTGTTATCACAATACACAAGTAGTAAGTATTGGTGATATCACTTCAGGCATAGTGTTATCTTTAATGACAGAACAAAAAGAACAATACATCAAAGGTTCTTTTAAACGAAGGGATGGATATTAAAATGTAAGGTAGCGGGAGCGTCCACCATTACCACCACGTCCTTGTTTTCTGCCATACAGGTGGCGCTATGCTACTTCTGCTGTTAAGCAAGTGAACTCGATCAATTTCTGTTGTATTTATAGCGTAGCACGATCTCAGAAACTGATGATTCAAGTAACTGTTTGACTGGCATTCTAGAAGTTGACAAGTAAGGAATAAATACGTACAGCTTTCATGATAACTTCTGGTTTATTGCATATAGCGACGTTTTGATGTACTGACTGACTGAGTATGGTTCTACGCCGCTTTTAGCAATATTTTAGCAATATCACGGCGGGGGACACCAGAAATGGGCTTCACACATTGTACCCATGACGGGAATCGAACCCGGGTCTTCGGCGTGACGAGCGAACGCTTTAACCACAAGTCTACCCGACCGCCCCTGTTTTGATGTAGTCTCTTATACCATTATCAAGCTGGAGTGACATCCCTTGGTGGCTGTCACTGCAGCTTGATGATTCAAGTATCGTCTGTATGGATGATATCATAGGTATCAGTGAACAGTTACATCCATATCACTCACCCTTTCCTTTGTGTATATCGAGACCTCTCCCTCTCGTGACCTCTCCTTCATGTAAATTGAAACCTATACATGTATATTGTGACCTCTCCCTCGTGTATATCGAGACCTCTTGTTAGTGTATATCATGACTCCACCTTTGTGTATATCGAGACCTATCCTTCGTGTATATCATGACTCCACCTTTGTGTATATCGAGACCTATCCTTCGTGTATATCATGCTCCTCCTTTGTGTATATCGAGACCTCCTTCGTGTATATTGTCACCTCTCCTTCACGTCTGCTCAAGTAACGTACAGTCTCTGTAATGTTCCCACGTCTGCTCCAGTAACATACAGTCTCTGTAATGTTCCTACTTCTGCTCCAGTAACGTACAGTCTCTGTAATGTTCCCACGTCTGCCCCAGTAACGTACAGTCTCTGTAATGTTCCTACTTCTGCCCCAGTAACGTACAGTCTCTGTAATGTTCCCACGTCTGCCCCAGTAACGTACAGTCTCTGTAATGTTCCTACTTCTGCCCCAGTAACGTACAGTCTCTGTAATGTTCCCACGTCTGCTCCAGTAACGTACAGTCTCTGTAATGTTCCCACGTCTGCTCCAGTAACGTACAGTCTCTGTAATGTTCCCACGTCTGCTCCAGTAACGTACAGTCTCTGTAATGTTTCCACGTCTGCCCCAGTAACGTACAGTCTCTGTAATGTTCCCATGTCTGTCCCAGTAACATACAGTCTCTGTTATGTTCCCATGTCTGCTCCAGTAACGTACAGTCTCTGTAATGTTCCCATGTCTGTCCCAGTAACATACAGTCTCTGTTATGTTCCCACGTCTGTCCCAGTAACGTACAGTCTCTGTAATGTTCCCACGTCTGCCCCAGTAACGTACAGTCTCTGTAATGTTCCCACGTCTGCTCCAGTAACATACAGTCTCTGTTATGTTCCCACGTCTGTCCCAGTAACATACAGTCTCTGTTATGTTCCCATGTCTGTCCCAGTAACATACAGTCTCTGTTATGTTCCCACGTCTGCTCAAGTAACGTACAGTCTCTGTAATGTGCCCACATCTGCCCCAGTAACGTAAGCCTCTGTAATGTTCCCACGTCTGCCCCAGTAACGTAAGCCTCTGTAATGTTCCCACGTCTGCCCAGTAACGTAAGCCTCTGTTATGTTCCCACGTCTGCCCCAGTAACGTACAGTCTCTGTAATGTTCCCACGTCTGCCTAAGTAACATACAGTCTCTGTAATGTGCCCACGTCTGACTCAGTAACGTACAGTCTCTGTAATGTTCCTACTTCTGCCCCAGTAACGTACAGTCTCTGTAATGTTCCCAAGTCTGCCCCAGTAACATACAGTCTCTGTAATGTTCCCATGTCTGCTCCAGTAACGTACAGTCTCTGTAATGTACCTACGTCTGCCCCAGTAACATACAGTCTCTGTAATGTACCTATGTCTGCCCCAGTAACGTACAGTCTCTGTAATGTGCCCATGTCTACCCCAGTAACGTACAGTCTCTGTAATGTTCCTACTTCTGCCCCAGTAACGTACAGTCTCTGTAATGTTCCTACTTCTGCCCCAGTAACGTACAGTCTCTGTAATGTTCCCACGTCTGCTCAAGTAACGTACAGTCTCTGTAATGTTCCTACTTCTGCCCCAGTAACGTACAGTCTCTGTTATGTGCCCACGTCTGCCCCAGTAACGTACAGTCTCTGTAATGTTCCCACGTCTGCCCCAGTAATGTACAGTCTCTGTAATGTGCCCACGTCTGCCTAAGTAACATACAGTCTCTGTAATGTTCCCACGTCTGCCCCAGTAACGTACAGTCTCTGTAATGTGCCCACGTCTGCCCCAGTAACGTACAGTCTCTGTAATGTTCCCACGTCTGCCCCAGTAACGTACAGTCTCTGTAATGTTCCCACGTCTGCCTAAGTAACATACAGTCTCTGTAATGTGCCCACGTCTGCCTAAGTAACATACAGTCTCTGTAATGTTTCCATGTCTACCCCAGTAACATACAGTCTCTGTAATGTTCCTACTTCTGCCCCAGTAACGTACAGTCTCTGTAATGTTCCTACTTCTGCCCCAGTAACGTATAGTCTCTGTAGTATTCCAATGTCTGCTCCAGTTATGTGCAAGTTGGAGGGGAGCGGCAAGTGGCCTGATGACCTTGAGGCGATGCGCCGGCTGAAGGCGGCGTACTTCCTCCAGCTCTCACAGGCGCTGAAGAAGAAGGATCCTGCATTCTTCGTCAAGATTGCTCCTGCCCACCTTGATGTTCTAAAGGTATGTGTGCTTTCATCTTCCTTGTTCAAAGTCACTAGCAACATACCAGGATTATTTTTGTGATGCCAACAAGTAGAAATAGTTACTATTTCAGCTGTTTGTTTTGATTTGAACATGTTCAGAATTGTACTGTAGATTATTCTTATTGCCATAGTATAGCAAGATACTGCCATGTGCTTAAGTGTGTGTCATGCCTGAGGCCTTGTGTTTCCTCCCCGACAGTGTGGGAACAATGTGTGGAGACCCTTTGGGATTTGGGGTTAGATTGGGTCCCCAGCAACCTCTGCTGGTCGTAACTGGTCAGACTCGGTGACTTGGTTGATGGTGTGTCATCGTACCCCCATGACGTTGATCATTCACAATATGGATCTCTGGATTGCCTGGACCAGACTGATTGTTTACAGGCTGCTGTCATATTTCTGTAATGTTGCTGAATGTGGCACTAAACAAACAATCAATCAAACAAACAGTGTGTTGAGTCCATTATTTGTGTGACCCATCATCGTACGGCTGGAATGTTGATAATTACACTCACCCTGATAAAAACACCAGTTGTCTTCTAATATTGTATCCCAACATTTACATGGGTGGAATCAACAATGACTCCTTGATATCCTTGCAGGATGGGTATGTGTTTCGTCTGAAGATCGGCAACATGCGTGAGATTACTTTGTCCAAGATGTACACCAGCCCTGACGGAACAACGCAGTCACATGACACTGAAGAGTCTCGGAGACTTCAGAGGGAGTACATTGCCCGCCCCAAACTGACCAGCACACTTCACGGGTAGGGCCAGTTGTCCACTTACTTAGTCTCTGTCCACTGTCTTGTGTCAGCCCCAAACTGACCAGCACACTTCACGGGTAGGGCCAGTTGTCCACTTACTTAGTCTCTGTCCACTGTCTTGTGTCAGCCCCAAACTGACCAGCACACTTCACGGGTAGGGCCAGTTGTCCACTTACTTAGTCTCTGTCCACTGTCTTGTGTCAGCCCCAAACTGACCAGCACACTTCACGGGTAGGGCCAGTTGTCCACTTACTTAGTCTCTGTCCACTGTCTTGTGTCAGCCCCAAACTGACCAGCACACTTCACGGGTAGGGCCAGTCATCCTTCATTGCCTCACTTGGTCTCTTTCCACTGTTTCTGCAAACCCTTGTGGAGATTCTGTGCAGGAACTGATCCCCAGTACACCATGCTTGTTGTTAGAGCTGACAGAAATAATTATCTGGTATTTGGAATTAGTAACCTGGCAGAGTTATGCCATATGCTGTTGTCCATGCTACAAGCCTTGCCTGGCCCAAAGTTGGTTATTTCTTATTACTGTGTTTATTGATGCTGATGATGGTGAAAACTACATCCACTCTTGTCATGTACTCATCATCTTGTTTTCCTAGAGATTACATCAACATACATGTCATTAGAATTGGTCTTCAGCAACCCATCCTTGTCATAAGAGGCGGCTAACGGGATTGGGTGGTCAGGCACACTGACTTGGTTGATGCATATCAGGCTCCTGAAGTAATGACGTGCATCTTATATGAACTCATGAGATTGCCCATAAGTTGTTTACTTTTCAGTTTGTTATTGAAGAGGGACTTGCTCATTGTTTGTGCATATTGTCTTCAGAATACAACAACAGAACAATACCTTCAGTGGAGCCGTGAGGCTGGTCAAGAGGTGGATCTCTAGCCACATGATGCTCGACTATATTGCAGAGGAAGCAGTTGAGCTGGTGGTAGCGCACTGCTACATCAACCCTGCACCATACACCGCACCAGGGTAGGTCATACATCGCACCAGTAGTGTAGGTCATACACTGCACCAGTAGTGTAGGCCATACACTGCATCAGTAGTGTAGGTCATACACTGCACCAGTAGTGTAGGTCATACACTGCACCAGTAGTGTAGGCCATACACTGCATCAGTAGTGTAGGTCATACACTGCACCAGTAGTGTAGGTCATACACTGCACCAGTAGTGTAGGCCATACACTGCATCAGTAGTGTAGGTCATACACTGCATCAGTAGTGTAGGTCGTACTGCACCAGTAGTGTAGGTCATACACTGCACCAGTAGTGTAGGTCATACACTGCACCAGTAGTGTAGGCCATACACTGCACCAGTAGTGTAGGTCATACACTGCACCAGTAGTGTAGGTCATACACTGCACCAGTAGTGTAGGTCATACACTGCACCAGTAGTGTAGGCCATACACTGCACCAGTAGTGTAGGTCATACACTGCACCAGTAGTGTAGGTCATACACTGCACCAGTAGTGTAGGTCATACACTGCACCACTAGTGTAGGTCATACACTGCATAAGTAGTGTAGGTCATACACTGCATAAGTAGTGTAGGTCATACACTGCATCAGAAGTGTAGGTCATACACTGCACCAGTAGTGTAGGTCATACACTGCACCAGTAGTGTAGGTCATACACTGCACCAGTAGTGTAGGTCATACACTGCACCAGTAGTGTAGGTCATACACTGCATAAGTAGTGTAGGTCATACACTGCATCAGTAGTGTAGGTCATACACTGCACCAGTAGTGTAGGTCATACACTGCACCAGTAGTGTAGGCCATACACTGCATCAGTAGGGTTGGTCATACACTGCACCAGTAGTGTAGGTCATACACTGCATCAGTAGTGTAGGTCATACACGGCACCAGTAGTGTAAGTCATACACTGCATCAGGGTAGATCGAAAACTGCATCAGTAGTGTAGGTCGTACTGCACCAGTAGTGTAGGTCATACACTGCACCAGAAGTGTAGGTCATACACTGCACCAGTAGTGTAGGTCGTACACTGCATCAGTAGTGTGGGTCATACTGCATCAGTAGTGTAGGTCATACATCGCATCAGTAGTGTAGGTCATACACTGCATCAGGAGTGTAGGTCGTACACTGCATCAGTAGTGTGGGTCATACATCGCATCAGGAGTGTAGGTCGTACTGCATCAGTAGTGTAGGTCATACATCGCATCAGGAGTGTAGGTCGTACTGCATCAGTAGTGTAGGCCATACACTGCATCAGTAGTGTAGGTCGTACACTGCATCAGTAGTGTAGGTCATACACTGCACCAGTAGTGTAGGTCATACACTGCACCAGTAGTGTAGGTCATACACTGCACCAGTAGTGTAGGTCATACACTGCATCAGGGTAGGTCGAAAACTGCATCAGTAGTGTAGGTCATACTGCATCAGAAGTGTAGGTCATACACTGCACCAGTAGTGTAGGTCATACACTGCTCCAGTAATGTAGGTCATACACTGCATCAGGGTAGGTCATACCCTGCACCAGTAGTGTAGGCCATACACTGCATCAGTAGTGTAGGCCATACACTGCACCAGTGGTGTAGGTCATACACTGCACCAGTAGTGTAGGTCATACTGCATGAGTAGTGTAGGTCATACATCGCATCAGAAGTGTAGGTCATACACTGCATCAGGAGTGTAGGCCATACATTGCATCAGTAGTGTAGGTCGTACACTGCATCAGTAGTGTAGGTCATACACTGCATCAGTAGTGTAGGTCGTACATTGCATCAGTAGTGTAGGCCATACATTGCATCAGTAGTGTAGGTCATACACTGCATCAGGAGTGTAGGTCATACACTGCACCAGTAGTGTAGGTCGTACACTGCATCAGTAGTGTAGGTCGTACTGCACCAGTAGTGTAGGTCATACACTGCATCAATAGTGTAGGCTGTACACTGCATCAGTAGTGTAGGCCATACACTGCATCAGTAGTGTAGGTCATACACTGCACCAGTAGTGTAGGTCATACTGCATCAGTAGTGTAGGCCATACACTGCATCAGTAGGGTTGGTCATACACTGCATCAGTAGTGTAGGTCATACACTGCACCAGTAGTGTAGGCCATACACTGCACCAGTAGTGTAGGTCATACACTGCACCAGTAGTGTAGGCCATACACTGCATCAGTAGTGTAGGCCATACACTGCATCAGTAGTGTAGGTCATACACTGCATCAGTAGTGTAGGTCATACACTGCATCAGTAGTGTAGGCCATACACTGCATCAGTAGTGTAGGCCATACACTGCATCAGTAGTGTAGGTCATACACTGCATCAGTAGTGTAGGCCATACACTGCATCAGTAGTGTAGGCCATACACTGCATCAGTAGTGTAGGCCATACTGCACCAGTAGTGTAGGCCATACACTGCACCAGTAGTGTAGGTCATACACTGCATCAGTAGTGTAGGTAATACACTGCATCAGTAGTGTAGGCCATACACTGCATCAGTAGTGTAGGTCGTACTGCACCAGGATAGGTCATACATCACACCACGGTAGATCAGGTGGTCAGGCTCACTGACTTGGTTGATACATGTAATAGTATCCCTGTTGCGTAGATCAATGCTCATGATGTCAGTCACTGAATTGTCTGGTCCAGACTTGATTATTTACAGCTGGAAATGGCGTTAAACAATCAAATCATAATAAGGTTACTGTACTGTGTATCAGTGATGTCCCATATCATGAACCATGATCTGTAGGCAATAATGTATAAACTCCAGTACCAATGTTCCCTAGAATTGTGTGAGGAGTTTTATTACAAGTAGATATTGTTTTTATAATACAGATGCTTGTTTGGGTGTTGAAATCATCAGCAACAAATCAAAATATTAACGTGTTCAGTGATAGAAAATGAGCAATGTTGTATTCACACTGTCAGTAAATGGTTTACCCTTGCTGTTTACAGATCCCCCATAGTCGGCTTCCTCCGTTTCTTGAGCATCTTGTCAACATTTGACTGGAAGACCCAACCCCTTGTCGTCAACCTCAACAATGAGTTCTCCAGTGAGTTGTGTCACGTTCATGTCCAGGCTTTTGTCTACTGTTACGTAGCATGCCTTTGCCATTCCCAGAATTACAGATATCGCAAGTACATACCCCGTTTATTGATTGTGAACAGACTCTTGGTTCCATTTTGTAAATCCCTATTACAGAGGACGACATATCTGACATCCAAAAGAAGTTTGCAGAGGACAGGAGTAGTCTCCCCCTGATGTGTCTCTGCACGCCACATGACAGGCTGATCGGCCACTGGACGAGGGAGCGCCCGACAGTGCCGATACTTCAGAGATTGGTGTTGCTGGCCCAGCAGTCATTGCAGATGTTGCAGCAACAGCTGCAGCACGACTACATCAATGCCGACTTCAAGGTACACGACAATAATACACATATAGACAACTGTTGACTTTACATTTGGTCATTTAACGTCTCCCTCAGCAATATTCCAGCTATATGACTTGGATAATGCATGTCATCGTATCCCAATTGCATAGATCGATGCTCATGATGCTCACTGGATTGCCTGGTCCAGACTCGATTATTTACGGAATGACGTCATGTAGCTGGAATAATCATGAGTTGTACCCTCTGGTGGTTAGTTAATGTTTCCCTGCTGTTGTACACTCTGGTGGTTAGTTAATGTTTCCCTGCTGTTGTACACTCTTGTGGTTAGTTCATGTTTCCCTGCTGTTGTACACTCTGGTGGTTAGTTCATGTTTCTCTGCTGTTGTACACTCTGGTGGTTAGTTCATGTTTCCCTGTTGTTGTACACTCTGGTGGTTAGTTCATGTTTCTCTGTTGTTGTACACTCTGGTGGTTAGTTAATGTTTCCCTGCTGTTGTACACTCTGGTGGTTAGTTAATGTTTCTCTGCTGTTGTACACGCTGGTGGTTAGTTAATGTTTCCCTGCTGTTGTACACTCTGGTGGTTAGTTAATGTTTCTCTGCTGTTGTACACGCTGGTGGTTAGTTAATGTTTCCCTGCTGTTGTACACTCTGGTGGTTAGTTAATGTTTCCCTGCTGTCATAAGGGGTGTGGATTGGGTGGTCAGGCTCATCTATTTGTGTGACATGGAGTCTGGTCCCTTGCTGCCTGGACCAGACTTCATTATTTACAGGTGTTGTCATGTAGCTAGGATGCTGCTGACAGCAGTGTTAAACATCACTCACTTACTCCTTCACTAAACACCTATGATACTTTGTCTCTGATTAAGTGTTGTTTTTGTTGTAGACAATCTTCCGACCACCGCTAGATGCGTTTGACCTCGTCATCTACCTGAAAACCAAACATATACCCCGACAGCACCAGGCAGTGGATATTGCCATGGCAACAAAGATTCCCACAAGAGAGTCTGAGAGTACTTGGAGGAGACTGATGCCAGTTGTGGACTACGACCCAGTACAGTTCTACCTGGAGGAACTGAGGGTAAGATTAGTATGACCCAGGACAGTTCTACCTGTAGCGTAAGATTACTACCACCTAGTATAGTTCTACCTGGAGGGTAAAATTACCAAGCCCAGTATAGTTCTACCTGTAACACAGCACATAAAGTCAGTCATCTCACACACTGACCCACCAAGGCTTCCACAAAATGAAAGTCCGACAACTGGTAGTCTAGATCATGCTGACTGCTGGAGTTCTAACGCTTCATGACAATGCCTCTTCTCACACCTCTCGACTTGTAAAGGCTGCTGTTCAACAATGTGGGTTTGAAGAGCTTCCTCACCCTCCATACTTGCCAGACCTGGCACCAAGTAATTTGCACCTGTTTCTTAAACAGAAAGAACACCTTCATAGAAAGCGCTATGACAACAATGATGACCTCAAAGCTGCCGTGAATTGGATTTTCAGACTGGCTTCAGAAAACTTCTTCCTGATTGGAATTGAAAAGCATCACTATCGATATGTGAAATGTATTGAAAAGCAGGGAGATCATGTTGAAAACTAAAATTAAAAACACTTTCACAATTTGTTTTGTTTGTTTGGCTTAGAAAACATTGAAATATTTGACAGCAAGAGTTCTCCTGTTTGCAGGGGGCCTTTGGTGACCTGGCACTGTTCTTCCATGACAAGTATGGCGGCTCTACTATTGGAATCGTGTGGAAGCCTAAAGCCAAAGAAACCAGACCTTTTAAGGTAAGAAAATCAGAACCATCATAAAATACAATATATTTTATTTGCTCGACCTTTGTTGGATTAAAAGTTTAAAAGATGCAGCTACAAAAATCTAACAAATAGTAATTGATGAAATGCTGTTTATTTCGTCTCTTGTCACTGGAAACCCTGACAGAAAGAAGAGAGCCTTGTCTGACCTAACTGAATGCTTATTAGTTTAACTGTAACTAAATTAACCACCCGGCACTTTTGCTTATCACAAACAAATATGATAAGAAATGTTATGCTACACAAATGTTTTTATTTCGACCTATGGATCGTATAAGGTGCCGCAATTTGCTGTGCAGAGTTGTGTCCCTTGAGCACGCCATAAACCTATGATTGTGGGTTGGAATCCAGAGAGCAATTCCACAAAGCAAGTGTAGCGCAATGTAGTATGCCTATGTTATAGTATAGGAGTTACGATAACCTTGGCGCTCTGATAGCTTTGTGAAACAGATCCATGGTTCGCCAAGATTATGTGTCTAGGATTGTCAGCATCATACCTGTGCTCATGGGTGTCACAAAAGTGGTAAACATCTAAGATCTGCATCCTTTTGTGTTTTCCTCCCACATCAAGCTGACACACCTTGACTGGAATACTGTTCAAAGTGGCGTTAAACCCAGCTCACTCACTCAACCTTACAAAGCTAGAAAAAGAAAGACATTAACCATAAAATATACAAAAGCGTGGCCAAGGATTGGTGGATTCAATATTAAATACAGAAGCTGTTGACAAAACGAAAGCAATGTTTCATTGTCAGGTATCTGACGTCGGAGGATGTACCCTGGACAGCAGTGCCTCCAACGCGGACGATATTCTTCTCAAAGTGAACATGGACGCCATCATTGCAGACTTTGAAGTTTTGGGGAAGGGACTTGTCACTCATATTAAGAAGATGAAGATGTAGATAACAAGTCACCAACTATTCCTAAAATTGTGAACATTGTATTGTTTCATTAAAATCCTATCCCGATACAGAATGACGTTTTCATCCAAGCAATCAGGGAAGGTAACAGTCAGACTGTGTTTGCTAATCATACGACCTAGAAAAGGTTGATATGGCGTTCAGAACAACAGTTAGGAGTCTGTGTTTTGTTGGGCTAGTTGTTTGTGGTTGATAGTTACACAGATGACCTGGGTTTGACACATCGTGTGATCATCGATGGTGTGTTTCATGTTTCTTGCTTGACCATAAGTACACATGAAGCAAATGAAACTGAGATTCACTGAGTAATCTTTGACTTATGTACACTTTGTTAGAAATTATTGGAAAATGTCACAAAATGCACTAACAAATCTGAACTATTTATGGATTTATGTATTGTGTGATAAAATGTATCATGATATATTATGTCAACACTATTGTTTGTTAAGAATGAGTCAAGAAAATTAAACATTTTATCTACCCAAATGATTTTCGTTGGTATCTGCCATGTCAGTACTTAAGACCGGAGTTCATCCAGAGAATGCCCTTTATACCAGGTCATGCAGCGCCTTGTGCCTTTACCCCCGGGGGCAGGCAGTGATGTTGTGCCTTTACCCCCAGGGGCAGGCAGTGATGTTGTGCCCTTACCCCCGGGGGCAGGCAGTGATGTTTTGCCCATACCCCTGGGGGCAGGCAGTGATGTTGTGCCCTTACCCCCAGGGGCAGGCAGTGATGTTTTGCCCTTACCCCTGGGGGCAGGCAGTGATGTTGTGCCCTTACCCCCAGGGGCAGGCAGTGATGTTGTGCCTTTACCCCCGGGGGCAGGCAGTGATGTTGTGCCCTTACCCCTTGGGGAAGGCAGTGATGTTGTGCCCTTACCCCCAGGGGCAGGCAGTGATGTTGTACCTTTACCCCCAGGGGCAGGCAGTGATGTTATGGCCTTACCCCCAGGGGCAGGCAGTGATGTTGTACCTTTACCCCCAGGGGCAGGCAGTGATGTTGTGCCCTTACCCACGGGGACACACGGTGAATTTTGCCATTACTCCCAGGGGCACACAGTGAATTGTGCTTTACCCCAAATGGCAGGCAGTGATGTTGTGCCCTTACCCCCAAGGGCAGGCAGTGATGTTGTGCCCTTACCCCCGGGGGCAGGCAGTGATGTTGTGCCCTTACCCCCGGGGGCAGGCAGTGATGTTGTGCCCTTACCCCCGGGGGCAGGCAGTGATGTTGTGCCCTTACCCCCGGGGGCAGGCAGTGATGTTGTGCAAATTCAACTTGAAGTACTTGTTTCACCGTTCATGTCAATATACACGATTATAAGAGGGCTTGATGTTCAGACACAAAGTGGGGGATGTCCTCACAACAGGTGCCCGATTGGGTTCCATTGCAGGCGTTCTGTGATTTAATGCTTGTGGAATGGGGCCTGCCCAGGTCCTAGTACTCCTTGTCCTTACAACAGTGTATCAAGAGGCGTAACAGTGTGTCGCATCTGGTGTCATTGTGTCCCCACCCAGTTAGTTACATGCTAGTTTGGTTGGCACAGACTTAAGTATGTTTGCCAGTTGTGATCCTACTGCTACAGCTGGGATATTGTAGACTGTGGTTCAAACACTCACTCACACACTCCACAACGTATATGAAGCCTCCATTTGAATTATTTCATCATACTTTTCATGAGAACATAAATTACACTATGTGAGATCCATGTTATTACCTCGATCCCAATCACACATATCAATGTTATTACCTTTCTTACAAACACATGCACGATCCATGTTATTACCTTTGATACTGATCACATTAATATCAATGTTATTATCTGCCATACCAACATATGTAATATTAATGTTATTACCTTGGATCTCATATACATATTCAGTGACCTTGACTTTAAGCACAACTAATCTTAAAGGTACTACAGACCGTATTGTGTCCACTAGGAGCTGAGGATGTGAAAGTCACCAAGAATCCCTGTGCAACATGGTGCAATGGAAATAATCACAACAGAATATTAAAAACAGTTTATTCCTTTCTGTAAACATGATAAATATATAGTCATAAACAATAGATCAACAAAATGTTTACAGCACATGACAATACTAGCACACAAATACGTAGCCTTCCCTCTGGTAAAGCCATGTTGGATGTTCAACAAAAATGATGACTACACGATCCCACTGAAACAAGGCATTTGAAACCTCATTTATAAAAATCCATGCTTTGTCATTTTCTCTCTTTCTGTATAATATACATTCGCCACAATATGTAGCTGTAATTTCATGAAAACAACGATACAGCCCAAAGCTGTATAGCGAAAGAATGACCACTAAATCCACTGTCTGACAGTCCACAGCAAATGTACACCTTGCAAAACATTATTCACATCATGTATGGTGGTTATTTGTGCAAATTGTCATTTTGTAACTTGTCGCAAAACTTCAACTTATAGGTTACGATGCATGCTAAGCTGATCTTTGATGGCCATCAAGCACAAAGCGTCTTTGTCTTCTCCTTCCACTTGCTTCAGGATATTATATGAGTTTGATGCTTAATGTTTGATGTTTAATTTTCTATCTTTTTCATAGTTATCCACTGGGCTATTGGGCAAGTTGAACACACGCAACAGAAGTGTTAACAAAAACATAGATATTAATTTTCAGAGAAACAAACAAAACGATGTCTACATCTGCGTGTAAACTATATCCTCATGAATTCATAAGCAAAATACAATTTAGTATCGTGATTGGTGGCAGCTACATTCATAAAGGCAAATTTATTCTACACTGTACATATTCAAGTACCAAGATGTTTGTGTGTAAGAGAATCCTACAGGATACTGTAATGACCCATTATGTTGTAAACGTCCATTACTGCAGGACAGCGAGTAAAAACCTATAAAACATGAATCACAATTTTTTGCTGCCAAAACATAACAAATTGGTGGATATCTCTGATCACCATTCACTGATCCAGTTTTAATTCTGTTACCATGGTAACAAACAGAATGTCAGCACTCATAAATCTGCCTCCTCTATTTTTTGCGGTCTGTGAGCAAATTGTCCTTTTCCCTGATCATCATGTTCTTGTACTGTTTCTGCAGGTACAACATTTTCTTTCACCGGCAGGAGACCATTAAGGGTATTGGGGTCCAATTCTGCTGTCTCGTTGGAATCCAATGCTGTGTTCATGTCGCTGTCTTCAGGAGCCTTGATTCTGCCTTTCATGGGTTTAATGGCTGGTGTCTTGGTGTTCCAAGGCAAGGAGGGTTTGATGGACACTCCATACGGGTCATCATCGTTCCCATTCAGAGCATCACTGTTGTGTAGGAGACTTCTCGACTTCCCTACAAAGTAAACCACTGCATTAAAACTTGCATCATCAATATCATACATTTGGAAGATAACTTGACTGATACATGGATATGGTGCTGAGAAATCTAAGATCATAATTGAGATCAATCTGGGATTCCAATATGTGATCAGTGGTATGGCCAAGGGACACAACTCTGCACGGGGAATGGCAGTGTTGCCGATGTTTCAAGCACAAGGAGAGATGTACAAGGTAGGGCTGGGACGAGTCCAGATTTACTACCTGGGTACCCACCATAGGTACAAACTGTCCGATTGGGAAAAGTTTGACCGTAGTCCTGGCAAAATGTATTTAGATACACGTATAAAACAATCTGGTCATGCATATGCAGTGATGTTTACTGCATGGAGTTTTATCTTTTTTTCAAACATATTAAAGTCAGAAGGAATGTGTGCATAGTCAGAAAGAAATGGGTACATTAGTGACCATAGAGTTTTAGATAAGTTTTGTCATTAAACAATATATCACGTGACTAACCACGGGTCCGGGTAGTCCTGGGTGTACCCGGGTCTTGCTGAGTACCCACCCGACCTAGTACCTGAGTTACCCGTCCGAGCCCAAGTAAAAGGGGTCTTAATTACCACTGGGGTCAGATACAGTCCTGACCACTTGAAATAGAATCATGAAATATCGAGATTATAAATTAACAAAGGACCCGTGAAGATCTGGGGAAGAATAGGTCTTCAGCAACCCATGCTTGCTGTAAAAGGCGACTAACGGGATCGGGTGGTCAGGCTCGCTGCCTTGGTTGATAATACATGTCATTGTTTCCCAATTGCATGGTGTCAATTTCTGGATTGTCTGATCCAGACTTGATTATTTACAGACCACCGTCATATAACTGGTATATTGCTGAGTCTGGCGTTACACAACAAACAAACAAATAATTAACGAACTTAGCTGCCTGTGTGCTAATAAAGGCTATAAGGCATACTTATAAGATATTACTTACAGCTATGACAAAAAATGCAATGTGTGTTTTTGAGGAAATATCCATGGAACATGTCAAAATCTGGGTAAAGATCGACAGTCGGGTCACGGAGCATTTATATTTAGCAGTGTGTGCATCTCGAACAAAGACAGTGGAATTTTAACGATGATATGTGCACATAATTGCTTTCATTTTATGCTTGTAATGTACAGACATCACTGTTGACCTAGTTCACGCACTGCTGAACATATGATTATTTCTTAATACCGGTATATCATTAAGTAATATTCCTTGTCGGCAGAATGGCTTGATTTCACTTTATATGTATTAGCACAAATGCAACTACCTCCGGGAAGGACTATAAGTGCCTGCATGGTGTATTTTGCAACATGCAAATAGATAGGCATGAAAAAATACAGCAAGGTCACGATACAATACATATCGCGATACGCATATTAATGTCAAAACACATGGAAACTTCTTGACAATAAATATTTCAGAGCAGGTTCGTAGCGGCTATTTACAGTAGTGAATGACAACACACTTTGCAATATCTGACCAACAAAAACGCCAGGGGTCATTCAACAAGTAGTAAGTAATTTATTTCAGCCAGTTTAATGTCTTGTATCGATACAAAAAAAATGTATCGTGTATCGTATTGTCACATGAAAACTCCTGATGCACCGTGCACCAATGTATCGTTTCACCCTTACAAATAGATGTGATTACAGGGGATCACATTCAGTGTTCAGCTCACCTGGCATAGGCATCTGCTTGAGATCAGAGACGGAGCTGTTCCGGGAGAAGGGGTTGAAGTTAGGTATCACCAGCAGGGCAAAGGACAAGAGCAGGACAGCCAGACAGGTTGTTGTCTGGGCAGGTCGACCTGACTTGGAGGTCACCATCATCTGCAGCTTCTTCAGCTGGGTGAGCAGAGACCTGGATGAGCAACAAACTGCCATGTTAGTCATAGAGTCATGTACTGATTTCTTGAGTCTGGTGGATGGTGCAACATGTACAGTCACTATTAACATGGGACCAAAACATGCATTATTAAGGTACAGCAAACTACGGTTATGACGAACTCAAAGGGACCTCTTATTTTAGTTCGTTATGACCGTAGTTCGTTATAAGCGTTTCGAATGTTGTATATGATAAAATATACAGCAAATGGCCGGGACCCCAAAACAGTTCGTTATATCTGTCAGTTTGTTATACCTGTCAGTTCGTTGTAAGTTTGTTCGTTATAAACATAGTTTACTGTATCTATTGTATGCTGTGACATTATTCTTCCGTTTTCCCTTCTTATGATTACAGATACCTTAGTGCCAGGACTTCATTGCAAACAGTACATAAGGCCTAGAAGTAATTTTGATTCCAGTGAAAACTCCTGTTTAATGATGTCAGTTCCCAATTACACATCCAGGCAATGGATACTCAGTAACCATGGTAACACCTGTAAATTTTAAAATTTGTTTTTAATGTCTACTTACAATATAGCAATGCTTGCAATGAAAAGAGAAAAACATCTTACACATTCTGTTTCTCCAGGGCATTTACTTTCTTGTGAAGGTTCTGGTTCTCAGAGGTGCACAGTTTGACCCGTTGCTCTAAGCCATCAACATACTCCATCTTTCTCTTTCGACTTTCCTTCGCTGACACCTGTTAAAGTCAAAGAATAACTATCAATATGAACATGAGAATGCAGTTTTGAGAGCTTAGCCTTAACTGACATTGACTGACCAAGGTCATCAGACTTTTGTTTGGCCATTCTGTGAGTCAGCTTATGAGACATTGCCATCTTGCACACATGGTTCAAAGATGGTGGTGCCCTAGTTAAACACACTACGATCGCTACCAATTTGAAAATGTATTTAGATAAACGTTTTCCATGCATTTGTGCACAGGTATCTACTGTATTTGTTCCATATGAATAATGTGAATTCTTCAGTTAAGATCTTGATTTATATGATATCCTAAAATTTGTAATGTTTTTAACCTGGTTTCGTAGTCCATGTTTCATAAATTCAAAATCAATAGAAACTACAGAGAAATCACAGGCATAAACAGGTCTGACAATAGATCACCTAAATTGCAATATGGCTGCATAATTTGTACAAGTGTAACAAGAATAAGCACAAAACATGAACAAACTAACACAAACTGCATTCCTTACTGCATGGGAGTGAGTGAGGATGCTTTTACGCCGCTTTTTGCAGTGCTTCAGCAATATCATGGTGGGGGGTCACCAGCAATGGGCTTCACACATTGTACCCATAGGGGTTCAACCTTGGGCCTTCAGCGTTACAAGTGAACGCTGTAATCACAAGGCTACCCCAACGCCCCTATCGGCATGTGCATTAAAATACACATTGAAACATGCCAAAATTGGACATGGACATGCATCATGTGCATTGCATGAAAACACTGATGCATATGGTAAGCCATTCTCCTTGCCCCTTGGTCATGTCACATTGTGGGCACTGTCATACCGGCACCCAACCTACTGATTTCATAACATGGGGAGTTAAGCTCCTACCTTGTTGCGGATCTTCCTGCGGATGGACTTAAGGGCTCTTTCCTCCTCCTTGGTGAGAGGTAGGTGGGAAGGTAGGGACACGCCTTCCCGGTTCAGCAGGTCCTTCTCCTCCTCGGTCAGCTGCAGGTCAGGGTACTACAACATGCAAACAGGAACATAAGCTAACACTTCACAGGACATCAAATTTGGAAATATGTCAGCTTACTACAACAGAGAGTGTAACAGATGGTCATTACTAATTTTCTGGCACAGAAGCACTTCCCTTATTAATCAGTGATAGAAACTAACATTTCTAGTTTTGTAGTCCTTATAATGATAACATATTGCAAAACCAATTTCTAACCTTGTTAATTATATCTATCTTGACCTTATAATTAACCTTATCCTATATCTGCAGAACTTAAAGTATGAATACATGCACAGCATTCAAGAGTAGAACAAAAAACGGGCGAAGTGACTATTACAAAAACACCAACATGTGTATAGTAGGCATATTTATATATTTCATGGTTAAGAAATATGTGCTCCACAGAAAACAACCATGATGAGAAAAGAGAACCTGAAAGATATTATTTTATACAAGTTACTGTCCAAGAATTTTTCACATACACAAAAATAGGAGCTGGCCTGCCTGTTTCCATTTTCATAAATCGTTCCCTGACAACCCATATTTCAGTAGAATAATGGGTGAGTTTGGTTTGACACAGCTATTTCAGTTCTAACCGGCATGTCAGCTTGTTGTTAAGTGATTCAAGCCTTGGGGACATTTACCACTTTGTCGGAACACAGGTGAACACAGGTGACAAACCTAGAAACATAATCAGGAAGAATCTGGGATTCCAACCCATGATCATTGGTTTCTGGCATGCTAGGGGGGATGGAACTCTGCACAGCCAATTGTGGCACCCTACATAAGCCATACCCCCAGGCATATAATGACTGTAGTGTGACATGACGGCTACCTTGGATGAACTTGTGACCTCGGGATTCACATCCTTCACTGTGAAGGGCAGGGACTGAGACTGGCTTGATGACAACTTCAGGATCTGAACGGTTTTCCTGTCTCCGCTGCTGACTGTGATGTAGGAGGTGTTGTTTGTTGATGAAGTGTCATCACTGTCACTGCCAGAATCTGTAATAATGTATATCAATTATTTATAAATGTACACATCATAAAAACAAGTAACACCTAAAACATAAAAGAGGGATTCTGATAACCTCTATTTTACTCATTTTTAGAATAAAGTTGGTCAAACAGCATTTTGCAGTTTTTCAATGCCATAACCATGGTAACAACTGATTTAGCCACGGTCAACATGGCCAAAAAGACATCTTCCATCACACAAAGTATTGACCAAACATGCTAAAGACATTATTGTGGAAACTAGATTTGCACAACTATTGACACTGATATTTTCCGGAAAATTTTTCCCTTTCATCTTATAAGTGTATCTAAAAGATGGAAGGTTTCTCACCAAGTTTAAACATAGTAAATCTATAAAAGATAACATACCAAAATTCACAGACACTTCTTTGTCATTTGATGCAAGGAGATCAAAATTGTCCAAGAAATTTGCTGAAGCAACACCACTGAAATCCACATTTATATCATGCATGTCCAAGTCCTCCAGCCCAAGAGGGCTTGCATCTGATTGGAACATTGTCTCAGTCCCATAATGTGATTGGCTGACCACCGATTCTGACATTTTTCCTTCACTTGACACTGTCTCCAGTCTATCTGTTGAACCACGAGGTGAGTCTCCCATTGAATCTAATGACACACCACTGTCACTGTGCTCACTGGGAGATTTGTGAGAGTAATAGTCATGATCCGTGTGCACTTGCTGTGAGGGCTCGCTCTGTGTTTGGATTTGTTCTTTTAGGGTGTCATCGGTCAGCAGGGAATCAAATATGTTGTCTTGCAGGAGGTCAATGTCAAGGTCATTCTGTGAAAATAATACAAACCATGCTTCAGTCAGCGTTATGTCTGCTATATCATGACTGCCTGTAAACACTGTACATGCTGTATGCAAGTCTAGTCCAGACCCACCAGTTATTATATTATACTGAAAATCAGTGTCTAACAGTGACGTAACGAAGGCATTTTACAAGTTTTGGCAACTTTGGAGAAACAATTTTGCGAGGGCACGAGGCCTAGCCAAGCGGGATCAGTAGTCATATCTGTGCTTGTAAACCTCTGCGGCTTGAAACCTTCTCCACATATTAAAATAGTTGGATTTGGCCCAAATATGTTTGAATTGTTACCTTGTTTTGTTTTGTCGCTGTGTGTACATCTGATTGCACTTCTTAACGTTATGACAGGACAGCCGGACTGTCAACAACAACAGCCGTGATGTCTCGTAGACTAGGTTTAGAGTAGCTTCCCTTTGACAAAGGGCAGTTACTCTAGCGGAAGGACCGATGGATTGCCGCGAAAGGCAATTAAAAACAATTGTTGTTTTGCGTATATGTTGTTTCGCCACTGTATAAGAAACAGATTTCAGTTGGAACTATATTGGCTTCTGTCACTGTCCGACTGACACATCACTTACCCTGGCATTCCAGGAAAACTCGCAATGTTTCGGTAATGTTTATGAGAGAGGGAAAGCGATTTTGCAACACAGAATTAAAGAATGACATTATATGATAAAAAGGTTATCACGCTTGTGTGTTTGGGGATGGTAAATATCCTGTATTAGGAAAAAACACTATGTATTTAGCTCGCCAAGGCTCGCTAAATACAATGTTTATTCCTAATGCAGGATATTTACCATCCCCAAACACACTCGCGTGATAACCTCTATGTATCAGGATATCCTGGTAGTCTTATCCTGGTACTAGAAATCATGTCAACATGATGAATATTAGTGCTGGGATGATTCACTGCTACATCATGTTACGTCAAGTTTCGATATGATTATTGTATTATAGCTTGCCATATCTCTACATAATATGTTCCACAGTTCATGTACTTTTTCGTACATAACATGTTGCAGTGAATGTCCACAGCATTCTAATACTTCAGTCAGTCCTCTCTATCACTGGGTGAATGGGATTCCATGACAACCTTGCTTGACAATGACATAACTAAGCTTAAATGTGGTGACCAACATGGCTACTACAAGCAGTGAGTGCTTGTTAAACTGGCCAATCTTCAAACAGACCAAATAAGAACATTTACATGCTGTTGAAGCGACATGAAAGATAAAAGACAACATAGAACAAAATCTATCTATCATAATGCATACATCCATAATACAAACACAGGACTGCATTTGATATAAAATAGCTGATGCAATCGCCAAACATGACTTAATATATCTATATAAATATCATATCCTATCAGTTAAAAATTATACACCCCCATCCCCAATAAACAAACAAAACAACAACACAAAAACAAGTAAATAAGTGTACACACAGACACCATATCCCAAACACCACTGTCCCATCCGTCCATGCTTGTGTCCATCATTGACATTGCAGTGAGTCCAGTAAACAAAATCCTATCACTTCCCTGCATCGCTGTCCTAGAATTTCAGTAAACGTTAATATTTACTGGGCTGTTATTTCTTGTCAACCGATAGTAAATCGGGTTATCACTCGTACAAAAACGTTGACAAACACGGACACCATGTGGTATTCGATCAAAATGCTAATGGCTTGTAAAAACAACAGCTGCACAGATGCAATGTGGCGTCGCAGATAATTTAGAACTAAATGATTCATCGTCACTCTGCTCGTTCTTTTGACTGTGTCAGCGGTGTATACGTGTTGCGAAACAACACGACTACAGCTGATGAAACATCTAGATCCTAAATACGCAAAACTTGACAGAAATACTGATAAAATGTCGGAAGGAAAAACACTCACGAAATCTATGGTCTGGACATCCTGCAATTCCTCTTTCAAAACCCCGTCATTCTGATCAAAAAGCATGTCAAGTATTTGGGCAGAAGGGGGCTCCAACGCCATGATTGCGATTTTAGATGGTCAGCGTCAATTATGCCCTGTCAAATGGATATGTCGTGTTCACAGACACGTCACTCTATACTTGCTGTCTGTTATCCGTAATGGCCGTCGAATGTTGTGCAAGTTTTCACTTCCGTGAACTTGTCATGACAACACCGATATTTTAGTGGTATATTCTGTGGTGGTTACAGCTATTGAAAAAAAGTATGGAAAAGCCTGACGTCAACTAAAAATCCATCCCGTAAGATATCTTTAAGAAATTCTTCGATGACCACATAGTTCCTTTTGTTGACGTGTTACTAAATTTAGCATTTGCTCAACTCATCGGTTGTATTCTGAACATGGTTTTTCAGACACAGCGTTGAACGTTACATACAGCGATGCCTATGAGACCCTGTATGAAGTTTTAATGCCACAACTTCCGAGTTGACGTGGAAGCTGAAACGGAAGTTGTCGAAGGAAACCAAACCAAACACATGCGCTGTAGAACGAAACAATTATTGTTCATCTGCAAACTGTTATTGCAGGATCACTATTATCATATGCTATTTTGCAACAAAATGGGCCCACAAAGTGTTTCATAAGACGCCGTTACTCGAGACCATTGTCAGCATTGATTTTAAAGCGGGAAATATGAATTTCGAAGAGTTTATAGTCAGGGTTTATACACTAGGTCCTACTAAATAACGCCGGGGGCGTCCGGAAACGCCCGGGAGCGTCCGGTTAATTGGATTGTCTGGTCCAGACATGATTATTTACAGACTGCCGTCATATAGCTGAAATATTGCTGAGTGCGGGAAAAAACCCCCAAACAAATAAACTTAACATACGACCCGTGAAGATCGTCTTCAGCAACCCATGCTTGTGGTAAGAGGCGACTATGCTTGTCGTAAGAGGCGACTAACAGGATCGAGTGGTCAGGTTCGTTGATTTGGTTGATTTGGATTGTCTGGTCCAGACTCGATTATTTACAGACCGCCGTCATATAGCTAAAATATTGCTGACTGTGGCGTTAAACAACAAACAAACAAACATCTTTTACATTGTCAGTAATTGCTTTTACGCCCGCCTTGTTGGATAAAACACAAAACCTTCATGGCCTATTAAATATTTTTTACCTTGTTACTTGTATTCATATTTGTTTGTTTTTATTTTGCTGTGTGTTCTATTTATTTGTACGCCAGTTGATATTCTCACGATCTTACCAATCTGAGAAAGACATGTTTTATACACTATACTTTCTTTTGCCCCTCAGTATATTTATACAAGAAATTAAGATTCCAGTGCAGGGTTAGTGAATTATTCCAAACTCGACAGTGAAAAAATCCATTGACCCTGACAGAGAAGTTCCTATCGGGTAATATATTTATGTTGATAGACAATGTTATAATTCTAAACGTTTGTTAAATCTTAATTGCAAGACAACTTATTATTAAAGGTCCATATATGTCTTTAACCCATTCGTTCTTATTGTAATAAACATTACGTGGTTACATAATAATTTCAAATACAAACAGACACTACCCCAGTTGTCTGTTAAACACAATTATATATGCATTTAAGAAAGTCATTACTTGCACGAATGTAATACTCTCATGATTCCCACTTTAGCTGTAGAAGTGGAAAAGTTGTGTCTTCGAGCAGCTAACAAGTAGGTCATACTGCATCACTAGGGTAGGTCATACTGCATCACTAGGGTAGGTCATACTGCTGCACCAGGGTAGGTCATACTGCTGCACCAGGGTATGTCATACTGCATCACTAGGGTAGGTCATACTGCATCACTGGGGTAGGTCATACTGCATCACTAGGGTAGGTCATACTGCATCACTAGAGTAGGTCATACTGTTGCACCAGGGTAGGTCATACTGCATCACTAGAGTAGGTCATACTGCATCACTAGGGTAGGTCATACTGCTGGACCAGGGTAGGCTATACTGCTGGACCAGGGTAGGTCATACAGCATCACTAGGGTAGGTCATACTGCTGGACCAGGGTAGGCTATACTGCTGCACCAGGGTAGGTCATACTGCATCACTAGGGTAGGTCATACTGCATCACTAGAGTAGGTCATACTCTTGCACCAGGGTAGGTCATACTTCATCACTAGAGTAGGTCATACTGCATCACTAGGGTAGGTCATACTGCTGGACCAGCGTAGGTCATACTGCATCACTATGGTAGGTCATGGTGCATCACTAGAGTAGGTCATACTGCATCACTAGGGTAGGTCATACTGCTGCACCAGGGTAGTTCATACTGCATCACTAGGGTAGGTCATACTACAGCACCAGGGTAGGTCATACTGCAGCACTAGGGTAGGTCATACTGCGTCACTAGGGTAGGTCATACTGCAGCACCAGGGTAGGTCATACTGCATCACCAGGGTAGGTCATACTGCAGCACCAGGGTAGGTCATACTGCATCACCAGGGTAGGTCATACTGCAGCACCAGGGTAGGTCATACTGCATCACCAGGGTAGGTCATACTGCTGGACCAGGGTAGGTCATACTGCATCACTAGGGTAGGTCATACTGCTGCACCAGGGTAGGCTATACTGCTGCACTAGGGTAGGTCATACTGCATCACTAGGGTAGGTCATACTGCATCACCAGGGTAGGTCATACTGCATCACCAGGGTAGGTCATACTGCATCACCAGGGTAGGTTATACTGCTGCACCAGGGTAGGTCATACTGCATCACTAGGGTAGGTCATACTGCTGCACCAGGGTAGGCTATACTGCTGCACTAGGGTAGGTCATACTGCATCACTAGGGTAGGTCATACTGCATCACCAGGGTAGGTCATACTGCAGCACCAGGGTAGGTCATACTGCATCACCAGGGTAGGTCATACTGCTGCACCAGGGTAGGTCATACTGCATCACTAGGGTAGGTCATACTGCTGCACCAGGGTAGGTCATCCTGCATCACTAGGGTAGGTCATACTGCATCAGTAGGTTAGGTCATACTGCTGCACCAGGGTAGGCTATACTGCTGCACCAGGGTAGGTCATACTGCATCACTAGGGTAGGTCATACTGCATCACTAGGGTAGGTCATACTGCATCACCAGGGTAGGTCATACTGCATCACCAGGGTAGGTCATACTGCTGCACCAGGGTAGGTCATCCTGCATCACTAGGGTACGTCATACTGCTGCACCAGGGTAGGTCATACTGCATCACCAGTGTAGGTCATACTGCATCACTAGGGTAGGTCATACTGCTGCACCAGGGTAGGTCATACTGCATCACTAGGGTAGGTCATACTGCTGCACCAGGGTAGGTCAGAGTTTATGTAAAATGACAACAAGTAGCTAATAAGTAGGTCACACTGCACAATTCGGGTAGGTCATACTGCATCACCAGGGTAGGTCATACTGCATCACCAGGGTAGGTCACACTGCATCACCAGGGTAGGTCATACTGCTGCACCAGGGTAGGTCATACTGCATCACTAGGGTAGGTCATACTGCTGTACCAGGGTAGGTCATACTGCATCACTAGAGTAGGTCATACTGTTGCACCAGGGTAGGTCATACTGCATCACTATGGTAGGTCATACTGCATCACTAGGGTAGGTCATACTGCTGCACCAGGGTAGGCTATACTGCTGGAACAGGGTAGGTCAGAGTTTATGTAAAATGACAACAAGTAGCTAAGAAGTAGGTCATACTGCACAACTAGGGTAGGTCCTCCTGCTGGACCAGGGTAGGTCATACTGCTGGACCAGGGTAGGTCATACTGCATCACTATGGTAGGTCATACTGCAGCACCAGGGTAGGTCATACTGCATCACTATGGTAGGTCATACTGCAGCACCAGGGTAGGTCATACTGCATCACTAGGGTAGGTCATACTGCTGCACCAGGTTAGGTCATACTGCATCACTAGGGTAGGTCATACTGCATCACTAGGGTAGGTCATACTGCATCACTAGGGTAGGTCATACTGCATCACTAGGGTAGGTCATACTGCATCACCAGGGTAGGTCATACTGCATCACTAGGGTAGGTCATACTGCTGGACCAGGGTAGGCTATACTGCTGGACCAGGGTAGGTCATACAGCATCACTAGGGTAGGTCATACTGCTGGACCAGGGTAGGCTATACTGCTGCACCAGGGTAGGTCATACTGCATCACCAGGGTAGGTCATACTGCATCACTAGGGTAGGTCATACTGCTGGACCAGGGTAGGCTATACTGCTGGACCAGGGTAGGTCATACAGCATCACTAGGGTAGGTCATACTGCTGGACCAGGGTAGGCTATACTGCTGCACCAGGGTAGGTCATACTGCTTCACTAGGGTAGGTCATACTGCTGGACCAGGGTAGGCTATACTGCTGCACCAGGGTAGGTCATACTACAGCACCAGGGTAGGTCATACTGCATCACCAGGGTAGGTCATACTGCAGCACCAGGGTAGGTCATACTGCATCACCAGGGTAGGTCATACTGCAGCACCAGGGTAGGTCATACTGCAGCACAAGGGTAGGTCATACTGCAGCACCAGGGTAGGTCATACTGCATCTCCACGGTAGGTCATACTGCATCACTAGGGTAGGTCATACTGCTGCACCAGGGTAGGTCATACTGCATCACTATGGTAGGTCATACTGCATCAGTAGGGTAGGTCATACTGCAGCACCAGGGTAGGTCATACTGCATCACTAGGGTAGGTCATACTGCATCACTAAAGTAGGTCATACTGCTGGACCAGGGTAGGTCATACTGCATCACTAGGGTAGATCATACTGCATCACTAGGGTAGGTCATACTGCAGCACCAGGGTAGGTCATACTGCATCACGGGGCGGTCGGGTAGCCTAGTGGTTAAAGCGTTCGCTCGTCACGCCGAAGACCCGGGTTCGATTCCCGACATGGGTACAACGTGTGAAGCCCATTTCTGGTGTCCCCCGCCGTGATATTGCTGGAATATTGCTAAAAGCGGCGTAAAATCAAACTCACACACTCACTCATACTGCATCACTAGGGTAGGTCATACTGCATCACTAGGTAAGGTCATACTGCATCACTAGAGTAGGTCATACTGCTGCACCAGGGTAGGTCATACTGCATCACTAGGGTAGGTCATACTGCATCACTAGGGTAGGTCATACTGCATCACAAGGGTAGGTCATACTGCTGCACCAGGGTAGGTCACACTGCATCACTAGGGTAGGTCATACTGCATCACTAGGGTAGGTCATACTGCTGCATCAGGGTAGGTGATACTGCATCACTAGGGTAGGTCATACTGCATCACTAGAGTAGGTCATACTGTTGCACCAGGGTAGGTCATACTGCATCACTAG